AATAAATGGTCACCAATCTTTGTCTAGTAACATGCACAGTAACATTGGAAAGCCACTGCCTTTGTTATTCCTTATTCCTCCTTTTTTAAATTTTAGAAGCACCAGGTCCTAGTTTAATCTAGGTCCTACCATAGTTAGGGGATGCGGGTGGCTCTGTGGGTTAAGCCACAGAGCCTAGGGCTTGCCGATCAGGTGGTCGGCGGTTCGAATCCCCGCGACAGGGTGAGCTCCTGTTGCTTGGTCCCTGTTCCTGCCAACCTAGGAGTTCGAAAGCACGTCTAAGTGCAAGTAGATAAATAGGTACCGCTCTGGCGGGAAGGTAAACAGTGTTTCCGTGCGCTGCTCTGGTTCACCAGAAGCGGCTGGCCACATGACCCGGAAGCTGTACAACAGCTCCCTCGGCCAATAAAGCAAGATGAGCGCCGCAACCCCAGAGTCGTCTGTGACTGGACCTAATGGTCAGGGGTCCCTTTACCCTTTACTATAGTTTAATCTAGACCAGCCCTCCAGTTTCTCTCTCTCTCTCTTTTTTTACACCTATGAAAGAGGAGTCTGTTTTTGCTTGGATGGAGGGGGAATATGGGTGTGCGATGGAGAGGGAGGGGAAGGGGGAGGAGAGAATAAACCTTGGCCTGTGTGTGGCTGGAATATAGCCTACTGCACAGTGGCATCCATTGCCCCACCCATCAGTGGCATGTAGCCCATGGATGGTTGCTGATAAGGTAATGTGGTCTTTGGGCTGAACATGTCCTCACCTCTGCTATATACTGAGTCTTCCTTATGTGCTTCCTTATGTATCAGTGGGGTTAGGGGAATCCCAAGGACTGTCAAAGTACAGAGAAAAATCTTTGGAGCGAAGACCCTGAAAGGGAGAAATCTGTCCAAAATACCACAATGAAGACTGAACACACTCTGTAATCATGGAATGCAGATTATTGGGGGAGGAAAAACAGAAAACTGTGGGGTGGAGGTTAAGGAATGGAGTATTCTGGAAAATTAGCCATATCCGATGAGCCAAAATTTGAACACTTGTTTCAATTCAGTGCTGCATTTTGTAACTCGATAGGCTAAAGTTTGTGTATCTTTCATACGAATACAAATGCAGTTGTGTAATATTATAGATTCAAACTCTTGTGTTCCTATCTGTACACTTTTATACTGAAAACTTTCCAAGAAGGCCTCCTTTGCCGATCTTTCTTTTTTTGTATGGTTAATGAACAGTCTACCTACCAACTTTGATAAAATGAATGACAAATGTAGTAGAAAAGCTAGTCTAATCAAGTTTCTTTTTAAAAATTGACTTCTATTTCAAGGTCTTCCTTTTTCCAATTAGTGTCCCTAAATTGATTGTTTAATGCATAACTAATCTCAAAACTTGCACTTCCTTGCTGATGGGGAAAGTTACTGCTCATTCTGTGGAAACCACGGTACTTATGGATCACATTTATCAAGAGGTGGCATTTTAGAAGTCATTATGGCTGCTGCTCTGCTTTGGCTGAAAGCAGACTTAAAATGAACCGATACAAAACATACTTCTGAGTGAGTTGTAAACACTTGTGTGTTCAAAGTGCTGCTCCTGCTGTGTTTAGAATTTAATCCTGAACTTGTAAACTAGTGTCAGGACTGTACTGTTTCCAGTGGGGCTTAAGATGACTGAATGTTCCTCATTAATAATAAAAAAATAGAACCTACCCATGTGGAAAACTGGCTTGACATAGAAACTCAGCTAGAAACCTCTCTGACAATCCAACTTACAAAGGGAAGAAACTCACACACGTGTGTGTTATACAAAAGTGTCAGAATCTTTGGGTCCCTAGGATCCTGCAAACTCCAGGTGACCCCTTAGCCTCAGAGAATGCTGGATGGGACCCTTTCCCTCAATGGCCTGGCAATTTCTTTCTCATCACAAGACCCCTTTTCTGTTTTTATTTCCAAGGTGTAAGACTTTCCTACCTATACCCCTAAATGTCTATAGTGTAGTGATTCCATTCACCTGCCCATGCTATTCTGGCTTGCCACTGGGGTTTACCTCCAGACTTAATCCCCTACCTTTCTGGCTCTAACCAGTCCAGGTTTCTTCCTCCCTTGCTTGTCTTGCCTTTGTCCCTCTTCCAACACCTGCTTCTTCCACTCATCAATGTCTTAGATCCTCATCCTCCAGCATTCCCTTTTATGCAGCCGCCCTGCATGTCTGCTTAATGCTCTAAGCTGCTTCCATCCAGCTGCCCCTTTCTTGGCTCACCTGTGTTTTCATTTGAGTGACCTGGGAATGTCATGGGAGGCAGCTGGAGCATTGTCATGCAACCACCACAATCTTTTCTGAAGTGGTACCTCCCTCGTCTGGCAAAAGGGAGCCCGGTGGAGTTGAACCCAAAATCCCACTAAGGGTACTCTAGTAGAAAATGGCTGCTTGGTTGCCCATGCAATCCAGATTTCAAGGCATTTTGTATTCAGAGTACACAACATCCTTTTTATTTGAAGACAATTTACCATCCGACATGTTTTTTCTTATCATGTTTGCTGTTAATCTTCTATTAGCTTTATCTTATCTACTCCTTTTGTAAGAAAATTTGGAGCAGAAAACACAAGCTAAGCATGGTATGCTGAGAGCCAGAACAAATGCTGAGAAGGGAAGACCAGGCCCATTGTCATGGCAACTACTGTCCGATACAAATCGTTGGTGGGTGAGTGAAATTTCTTTCAGTGGGACAGTATTAAGATTTGTTGCAACGTTTCTATAAAATGTGGCTGTAATACTGTAATAACAACTCATTCTATGCAATTATGCTCAGGAAACAGTAAGAGCATACTAGGCCACCAGAAAATTCGGATGAGAATTTTTCAGCAAACAACTGCTGTTCTTATTTTATTTCTATACTGCTCTTCTCCTAGCAGGAAACTGTGGCGCTGAACACAAAAATTGCAATCAGAAAATTAAAAACATCTTAAAATAAAGCTCTTACCAAATATGGAAGAAAAAAGAACAACAGCTGCTCAAATTCCAATTGGAGTTCATGCCTCAAAAACCCAAGGTAAGCAGCTAAGTCTTCAATTTACATCAGGGAGAAAATTCCTTGTATGATGTTGCCATTTGAAAATTGTAAAAACTTTTCAAGCAGACCTGAGCCACTTCATACTCTATGTATTCCACAATTATGGGGGTCAATTCTCCGCTCCGGGGCATTTAAACAGGCCGATGCTGCTCTCAGCAGCTCAGTTGGCCCAGCACATCACCCACCCAACCCAACCCACCCTCTAATCGTGCCTCTTTTGCAACCTTTTTCTTTCCAGGTCAGCGGCCTTGCTATGGTTTTTTTTAATGATTTCGGTTTTTTGCAGAGCCAGGAAGGAATTTTCCCTGCATATCAGGTTTCCACCTTCCTCATAGCAACAACTTTGGCAGTTGGCAATAACAAGGTAGCCCGTTAGAGGGGTACTGAGGAAAGTCTCTGTCCATAAAGCCAGAAGCGTGTGGCTGGAGGGCCGTAAGAGATTCCCTCAGCGCCTGGGGAGGGGGGACCATTTGTGTAAACACATATTTTGTCATGGTCCCATTTCCCCCCAACTGATTCCTGTCATGCCTCAGACCCCCGGGCTGGGAGTTGAGAGGGATACACATCCAATGCTTATGCCAAGGTTTACCTACAACTGAAAACAAAGTTGTGGCCATTTTTCAATCCCAAAATGTTGTTGCATCCTTTCATTCGCCCATGGTGGCCTGGCTCCCTGGCTGCTGCAACAGGGTAGGCAATATCCTTTTATTTACTTTAAGCCCAGAATACTGATTTATTTGTAATGCCATTTTGAAGAAAATATCCTTTTATTATTAACTTTAAAACATAGTAACTTTTAAGATGTATTGATTTGCTCTCTCTTCTGTTATGAGCCCAATATTTTACCTATGCCTATTTTCTGTCGCCGTCCCCACCCGCCCGCATAGAATTCCTGCTACCCCAAGCAAGGAATTTAGGTTAACATTCTGAAATCTAAGGTACACTAATAGCTGTTGTATTAAGACTAGATTGGCACACCACTTTACTTGCACTATTTGCACAGGGGTTGTGTTCTGGGTCATCGCGTGCAACAGCAAAGCTTGTATAAACCCCTTACGCCCTTTTCCTGCCACTTCCAGGTTTGTGGCGATGTGTGATTGCATGGTCACGAATGCTTGGATCACGTGATAAAGGGTCATTGCCTGTATCTAAATGATCTGCAGTAATTTTGAAATCAAACAACTATACTTCCAACTAAGCCTTTAAGCTGATACAGCCCCTCGCCCCCCGGCCATAAATGGTGTCCAACAGTTGGGATGTATATGGTTTTGTAAGTTATTTTGGCATTTGCCTCATGCTTTCACTCATCAGGAGTCTATACAGCAAAGAGAATTAGATGAGGTATTCCAGGTTCTCTGGTTACTGCAAAGATCTTGCACATAGTCCGCAATCTAAGGATCATGTCTTCCTAACGGTAAGCCCTGATGTTACACTCTTATTGGCACAGACAGAAGAGCAACACAAACTGATGCTTTGGCAACAGGGAAATCTTTGGATTATATTGAATACTATTGCAACAGAAGGGACGCGGGTGGCTCTGTGGGTTAAAGCACAGAGCCTAGGGCTTGCCGATCAGAAGGTCGGCGGTTCGAATCCCTGCAACGGGGTGAGATCCCATTGCTTGGTCCCTGCTCCTGCCAACCTAGCAGTTCAAAAGCACGTCAAAGTACAAGTAGATAAACAGGTACCGCTCCGGTGGGAAGGTAAATGGCGTTTCCGTGTGCTGCTCTGGTTCGCCAGAAGCAGCTTAGTCATGCTGGCCACATGACCCGGCAGCTGTACGCCGGCTCCCTCGGCCAGTAAAGCGAGATAAGCGCCGCAACCCCAGAGTCGGCCACGACTGGACCTAATGGTCAGGGGTCCCTTTACATTTTTTTACTGCAACAGACAAAGCCAGAGCTGAACATTTTATCTCTAAAATACTGATCAAAGCAGCTCAACAAAAAAGTTATCACATTTTTTTTTATTAGCAATCTTGCATCACACACCCCGCCCCCAAAGATATAAAATCTTCTTAGGGAAATATATATATATATGAAAACCTTCCAATTAAATCAGCTGGCTTCAAGGGACAGTATGAAAAAAAATTAGACACAATGTAAAGGAATGTTAAAAATCCTTAGCATGGTGGAACTCCTGCAACAAGAAATTTAGATTCAGCTTTACACGATTGCTTTAAATGCACTGATTTCTTCCATTAAAAAAAAAAATGAACGTATGATAAATTGCTCTTAACATATATGGGCATCAAAACTGACATTAAAAATGTGTACAAGTTTGGAAAATGTTCACAGGAAATGCAAGGAATAAAAACAGTAAATCCTGATTTTTTATCTTTCCTTAGATTAGTATGAACTGGACTGCAATTTTGACAACTTTATATTTTGTATTGAATTAATTGCCATTGCCTCAGAAGGCATTAGCTTTCAGACAAGAATTATTTTGACTGAATACAAACGTCTGCTGGTTAAGGAACATTCAGGCATGATTGTACAGCCGATGAAAAATAAATGAGTAAAAAAATAGGCTGCAATCCTATGCTTGCTAACTAAGTAGTTTAGGCTGCAATCCTGAACACACTTACCAGGAAGTAAGTCCCATTCAACGCAACTTCCAAGTAGACATGCATTTTAATGTAGACTTACGCAATAAGATTTCTGAGGGAACATGTTGTAAGATTGGGCTGTAGGTCTAGTCACATGAAACATTATTTGGAAGCGTGTTTTACAAGTAAACAGACTACAATTCATTGCATCTTTTTATTTTTCTGAATTTTAACCTTTTGAATAATTTTTACTCCCTTAAGAACAATTAGAGGCTTCCAGTAAATATTTCCCACTTATGGACATCATAAAACTGAAGAAGTAGTTACAGGAATGTTCTGCTGGCATTTAAGGATTTCATCTAAAGAAAAAGTATTCATTTTTTATGTTTATTGCATAAAATGATTCATTTATAGCTTCTTAATACTCTTCCACTGTACTATTTTTTCCCAACAGTTCACATGAAATTGTGTGAATACAAAAAATGAAATAGGGAATCTATATAGTGTCCTCTGAAGAATGCCTTCAAAACATGAAAATTATAAAAGAATGTCATTAAGGTGGGAAATGTGCCTGGATATCAACATGGCATAGATCAGATTACTACAGTACAAAAATGTGCGACTATAAAAGCCATTCCCCCATTAAAGTATTAGTTTCAGAGGAAATTATGTATCAGCAAAACTTAAAAAAAGGTGAAGGTTAAAGGAACTGGAATCATAAAGAATTGCAATTTACAGTGCATTCCTACATATGTCTACACAGGAGCAAGTCCCATTGGGTTCAGTGGAATGTGCCCCTAGGTGTTAATAGGATTGCAGCCTTTACCCAATAGTAAACAGTAACTTTATTTAGGGAAGTGGAACTTTTAAATCCCCATGGCTTCAAGAACTCAGTGTAAAATACTGGAGGCAGAAATACTGAGGAATAGCATCTTCAGAAATATGTAACAAACATTAGCAAAATAAGCATGGACATTTAAGTTTGTACAGTGACATTTTAAAAATATAGGCACATGATTCTCAATGCACTGTTTGCTACAATATACATGGCAAGGCAGCTTTTGCACACCTTTAAATTTATGTGTATGTTGCAGTTTAACTGATAGATGAATTTTACAGTATCATTTATTCTTCCATTGTTTTAATTCATTACATCATTTTCTACATTCAATTAGAGCATTCAGACCACCACCACCAGAACCAATTTGGTGCAGGAGAACGGAATGTACCCACCACTGTCAAATAAAAAATATGTGTTTTAATGTCCTTCCCCATTCCCCCCCAAAAAACACTACATGGACACCAATAGAGTAACAAGATGTATCAAAAAATAAGGCACATTTATTTTGATATTGAAATATTGAAATAGAAAAAGGCTTTCAGAGAGCATTAGTATCCAAATGTTTTGTAAAAAAATCTTGTATTCATGAAATTATAGACTTAACTTTCCTTACTCTTCATAATGGAGTAATTGCACATATCCCAATGTGTCAAGTAACGAAACAGAAGTTTTGTTTGACATTTCCAAGAAAGATGAAATCTAAAATTCCGGAATTTTAACTTCTGCCACTTCAAGATGGTAGGACAAGTGATTATAATTTTCCACACTTCTCAAAGGCTCTTGGATTTCACTCTACGGCTAGAGTGGGATAAATGCAGACTCCATGTGGAACAAATTGTAACTGTCGCTTATAGAAGTCTTTACAAGTATTTGGACAATAGCTTCGCCAGAGCATATTCAGGGTTTTAATTCCAGACTGTACTATCTGGGATTTCAACAATATGTAATTATTTAAGACCCAATTACAGATCAGAAAACCATTTAAAAGTCAACAGTCCCAACCTTTCAAACACAAAATCATAAACTTAGAAGCCATAAACTAACATTTAACCTGAGATTCACTATGTTGATGAAAATATCCTTTGTTTTTCTTTCCACTTCTTATACTGATGTTGGCATTTTGTTAATGGTAAAGTTGCTTGCTTGCATCATGGCTTTTTACTGTGCTGGAGATCAAATAAATTCTAGAGTGAATGTACTGTCACAGTATCCAAGAAGCTGGAATAGAAATGTGCGTCTTATTGCACACCAATCTTTGAGAAAAGTTGCAGATTCTTCTTTAGCATTTGAGTTCTAAAGGTCAAGTTTCATCTCAGCTGAATTCTGTATGTGTTTATCTCCATAGGACTCATACTGATTTCACTAATGTTTCTGGCATCTGGAGGTGAATGCATCAAAGATAAGGATGTAGGTATAAGACTTCCCACATGGAACTTGTTAAAGAGTCTGTGCACCTTTAGCTGGAGAAGTAAAAAAAGATCATTATTTACAACACAGAATTGGACATGAATTTTAACTTCACTCTTTAATGATTTTTAGTTGAAATCTAAATCTTACGAGTTCCTCGTAAGTAGGTTCTAACTAGGGCTGGGCGAAATATGGATATATCGTCCAAAACCGGCTTGAAGTTCACATCGTGAAAACTGTTTCATAATATTTATAACCTGGCAATATATCACAAATCACAATGTGTGTGAGGGCTGGGCAATATCTGGCTTTCAAAATCGCGATGTATCACCAGCAAAACATCACAATATACCATGATGTCTGAAGTAAGCATGGAACTATGCAGAGGTGAACAGGGCGCTACAATTCTGCTCACTTAAGTGAACTGCAGGCTTGTGTTTCTCAAACAGCAGTCCCTCATCATGCAACATGGGAAACGTCTCTAAAACTGAAGAGACTTTCAGGACTGGTTTGTGACATAGCATAAGAGCCTGCTACTCCAAGGAAAGAAGGTAGAAAATCCAATTGAGCAGGTCCAAGCCATTATCAAATGGCTGACTCAATCTCTGCCAACTTGTTTCTCTACTACCGTATGAATAAATCTAAAATATTGTAGAATACCTTTCCCTGAGTTGTAGAGCAGAGGAGGCCCAGGTCTGTGCTTGTGAACCTACAATCAAATCCCTTCCTGTGAACAATCAGGGCTGCTTCCTCAGACGGCCCAGAATCTGCCTGCAAAACAAAACGAGAAATTGTGGGCAAAGGGGGTGAGGAGAGGAGGAAAGAACTGTAGAGTCTGGGCAGAGGCACAAACTTTTGAATCGTGACTGAAACTGCTAGGAAATTGACAAGTTACTCTGGAGCCCAACATTGCCTAACTTCACTGATTATTGCTATGATTTTAGACCTCAGTTATATGGCCATAACAGGTTCAGTCACATACATAATTTTAATTACTATAGTAAAACTTAGAAGATTTTGGCATACATAGCAGTTATATCCCCAAATGCCTGTGTGCAGGAATACAGATGTTATCTGAAACAGGTTATGGGCTAATAAACAGCTCAGTAAGATGAACAAAGCATCTGTTACTTTATATACCGTTAGATTCACTTGGCGGTGGCACTAAAAACTAAGCCAGAAATTCAGGCAAAATAACCTCCCACATAACTAAAACAGTGCATACAATTGTACAAAAAGGAAGGGTCTAAGCTTTTTTAGGTTGTTTTTTTTTTAAGGATTCAGGAGCCTACAATGTTAGCAGGCACATACAACAGCTCTTCTAAAAGGCAGAAGATGGGAATACATGATAGGTGTGCAAAATATGTACATTTTATTGAAGCGGAACTCTCAAAACCCATGCTGTCAGCTACTAAATGACACTGAAAACACCATTAGAGAAATTTACACAAAGAGCCATCCATTACTAGTAGCCACTGACAGACGTATCCTCCATGAAGCTGTCTAATTTAAGCCAATTAAAACTAGTGGCCACCACCATATCTTATGGCAATAGTATGTTGTGCCCTGCACTGAAGTACATTTCAGGCGTATCATCTATCCCTTTAACGATAGCAAAACAAATACGGCAGCAATTTTCAGCATACCTACCTGTTGCCCATTACGCAAGATTATCTGCTTTTTTGTTAGGCTTTTGCTTTAAAATATTTGTATTCTAAAGGCTGCCCACTATCCACCCAGTGTGTAAGAACACTTCTCCCTTTATTTATTTAGTGCTGTGAACAGGAGCATGGCTATTTTATGACAAGGCTTCATCACACCTTCCCTATTTTTGCAGGGGGGGTGGGGAGATGCTACTGCCAAGAGAGAGAGAACGGAGGCAAACGTTATCTGGAAAAGTCTTTTGGTTCTTCTTGATTACCAAAATTCATCTTATTCTCTGTCTGGTTTAAATCTGAGTATTTTAATGCTACTAATGAAAGATTGCAATATTTCGTAATTTCACATTGTCTTAAATATGCTGACGTTTATCATTCCAATAATATGCATCATTAGGCAGAGAAATCTACAATTTTATTGTTCCTTGTACAAAAATGATGGTTTGTGGTCTATAAGGAAGCAGACATTTATCACTCTCTACTTCAGTAGACTCACATAATGAAAGCCCATACGTAGCATACACAGAGTTATTGCCCATAGAAATTAATGTTGTTTGTTGTGTAGAAAAGAAGTGACTGCATCTGTAAATCTACATTCATGGAAGTACATGTCACAAGCTAGGTTGCAAAGCATTGTTATAAGTAGGTAAGGAGCTGTGCATCTCAAATAAATCATCCTAGTAATCAGACTCAAGCCCTTACTCACTTCTCAAACTTACTTCTGCACTGCTCTTTGACACCAGAGAGTATCAATAACAATGTCAACAATGTCAGGCACATTTTATAGTGTTTAGGAGTAAAATATGCTAAGACTGTACTAATTTCTTCGGAGACCCATTTCAGAAGTCTTGTAAAGGGGCTTTCTAGAAAGCAATAGTTTTGAGTATACTGAAATAACTATTTCAAACTTATTTCAAGCTTACCTTTGATTGTATGGTTCTTAAGTTAACTATATTCATATCACAGGGCATGGATGACATTAATGGAGAAAAGGTATTCAACAGTGATGGGAGGCCGATGTCTGCATAGGTAATCATTGGAATCAAAGGATGATTTATGAAAGATGATGTTATATGACTAAGGAGAGAAGGAAAGCTGACTGCTGATTTTTCTTCTTTCTATTAAAAAAAGAAGATAGTAGTAAGCTATTTTCAGTTGTGGTACATTGAACATATATGCATTCATTTAAGCTGATAAATGAACCCATGAATAAAACTAAATGGCATTTGGGACATAGGTAGGCAACAGTGTTTTAAAGTCAACAGTGCCCCCAAAAGATTACCATAAACAGACATACACTCTAGCGGTCAAAAGAAGCCACAGCACCGTTGGGGCACATACTTTAACCTATGGCACAGTGTGTGAATTGTGTAGTTTCTCTTTCTCTCATATAGAAGTGGTTATGCAGCATTTGGGAGTGCTTAGCTGATCTATTGGGGGTCTATATGCATATACCAAAGGAACTGGTTCTTTATCATCCATACTCTCTGTGGGGGTCTTTTGCATCCCTCTGTCATGCTGGTTCCTGATGGATAACTGAACAGTGTGCTCTTTTAATCCTGAAGCAAACAAAGGTACCCTTTTCTTGGTTTACTGGGCTGTTTCTCTGTGTGTCTCATTTAACTAGGTAACCTGCTATACTCTGCCTGTATCCAACATTTGTAGCACTATTTATGGTTTTTCAGGCAGCGTTAATAAAGATTTTAAATTTAACTGCTACTACCTCAGACTTCCCTGGGGTCCCAGTATAATGATCTGTGACTACACCATAGACTGGAATGGCGTTTATCTTTGTCAAATCTGTACCACTTAAGACTGTGATAAATAAATACATTTAATTTAAAGCAGCTTGGCTTGTACACTCAGGATGTTCTTTATGCACCCCTGTGAAAATTTGCTAAGTTGTGCATCTGTATGACTTCACTTTATAGTAGATACAAGTCATATGACGCAAAGCATGATGCTGAAATATTTCATCTTAAGAGTAGTGTAGAGGACCAAATATTCAACTATTGTCATTGCTATCCCTCTCCCAACAATGAGCCTACTGTTGGTCCCCATTGCATTTACCACCACAATCACTGTTTCTATCCCCCCCCCCTTTTGCATGTAGAAGGCCCCATGTGCTCCCCTGCAAACCACAGGAGTCTTACAGTGATGCCGATGTCTACAGTTCTACAGATGGAAGAATCACCTTTCGCCCAACCCCCTTACACCAGAATTTATTTGGACTTAGTGAGTGACATTATAGCAACACATTCTTTCATATGAACTCCCTAAAACAGGGAAGAACAGAAAAACTTTATGACACACCATAGTCAGGTTGAATAACATTAGTGAATCCATATTTGGAAAACTGAAAGATTAATGTACTAATTAGAGATATGGAGAATCCCTTGGTAAAATGTTCTTATGATACATATACATGTACATATATTTGGAAGCTAATATTTAAGAAACTGAAATCAAGTTATTTGTAACACTTCTCCTACCATATCTACTCCATTTCTTTTCTCCAACAGAATTCGGAATAGATTAGCTGTGATTTTGTTATCTTGTACACCTTGTCCTAAACCTCGATTGTCGTCCTGCATAAGTCGGCGATCCATGATGACCTCTAATTGGCCTAAAAACAAACATTCGTCTTATTCTGGATCCACCACTCAGCACTCTGTTAAAGTATCTAAAAATCATGCTGCTATGAAAAGACAGACTACCCATTATTCTACATATGCATAAAGGATAGAATTATTAACAGGTATAAAAAATTGGACGTCTTAAAGCTCTCCTAATCCAAGATCTTTTGTCCAAAATATTCATAAACATTGCTCTATTTATATTACTTTTTCCTCTAATGTTTCAGCAAGCACCTACATATCTTATCAACTATTCATAGAGCCTTGATTAACCTTGGAGAATTCCATGGAACTTGAAGGCCTTTGAGCTATGTTATGACCACAACATTGTTTACTTTCCAGCATAGTCAGTCTTTAAAACCTTCTAGTGTTACTTACCACTTTTTAAACTTGCAACGCCAAGAGACTGAGCAGAAAGAAGAGACAAGCGTATCTTGCTATCCTGGATATAAGCCATTGTTGCCATTGGATAAATATTTGCTTGAAGAGGCAATTTGCTCATTGTCTGTCTAGGCTGAATCTAAATTATCAAATGTGACTTCAGTAAATTTCATTGATAATTTACATAAGACAAATAGAAAAATAGATTTTGCTAAATGGTAATTGAATACAGTCGTACCTTGGAAGTTGAATAGAATCTGTTCTGGAAGTCCGTTCGACTTCCGAAACATTTGACTTCCAATGCGTGGCTTATGATTGGCTGCAGGAGCATCCTGCAGCCAAATGGAAGCTGTGGAAGCCCCATTGGATATTCGGCTTCCGAAAGAACGTTTGAAAACCGGAACACTCACTTCCGGTTTGGAATTTGGAGCCGGTTTGGTTTGGAGCCAAGGAATGACTGTACTATACTTTCAGGCTTGCCCAATTTCTGTTTCTTTCCCTAAAACCAAGTTATTGATGACAGCCTATAAACAAGTTATCTTTCTAACTAATATTTTAACAAACAAACATCTGTATGCAACTCAGCTAAATCTGTGGGAGCTCCCAGAGGAAAGTCACAGATTAAAATCTCAGTGAAAGGGTGAACTGGTATAAGAGAAGGCGGTTAACAACTGGGTTTTTATTTCTCTTCCTCATTTTTGAGATTCACTTGCTTTCTGTGTGCCTGCTAATCTTCTAATTTACCATGTGCAAGAGCTTGCATACATGTTGCTGAAAATACAGGGAGCTTGCCTGAGTGAGGTCTGCTGCATTCCACCATGGCTGTGGGTTCATCAGCAAACATACTGATTGCACCAACCTCAGGTTATGCTAGCTGATAACTCCCTTTTAAAGGGAATGGAAGCACCTCTCTGCTGTCCTGACTTGGGAATCCAGATAAGGGAGAGAGACAAAACATGGGGACAGACATGGTATCATTAGTGGGAGATAAAAGGTGGCATTTCTTCATTAATGTCTGATAAAATTGAGTGGAATTTTTAAAAAATAGGGGATGAGGAGGATGGGAAGATAACGTAAATATTTTAAGATTTTCATCCAGTTTATAGAAATTTTTAATTGTTACTAATTTTTTAAAAAACACCACTCCAATAAAAGATGAGAGTAAATGTTAACAAAAAGGCTAATCTAAAACGTAGAACATAACCCCTGTGTTTAAATTAACATGGTGTTTACCTGGTATCCATTGAGGTCAGTGTAAAATCTGTTATGGCTTTCTATGTCAGATGAAATCCGCATTGCAATCTCACGATTGTATTCTCCTCTAATGTCCACAATGTTGGATACCTCAAGGGACTGACCTTCAAGCCCTAAATATAAAATGAGATTCAGTAATTTCCAAATACTAGTCAAACCCATGATCCTAAGCAGTAAGGAACCAGTCAAGTGCAACATATATTTGCAGCTCAATTGGAGCCACATAAAGAGGGGTTTCATAGATGCTTCTATCAGTTGAATCTCTAGAGCTGCATATCCTGCTTTAGAAGAGGACTGGAACCAAAGGAAAGATGTCAGAAGATGCCATCTTTTGCACATGATATATTTATTAATTCAACTGATTCCACCTCCTTTGATTTTCAAAAGTAGTGTGGATTAAAGAATGAGTTGGGAAATTATTTATAATGAGTTTGGGGGGAAATGTTTAGATTTACCTTCCACTAAAAAACCAGAGCCCTTTTTGTTGGGAATAACCCAGACAGAAATTCCCAGGGGCCAGAAAAGTTTTGTTTATGTATGCAACAACAACAGCCCATGTTCTGTCAGCCCCCAAATGCAAAGTGAGCAAGGTCCCTTGTAAAGAGCACTGGCAACTTTAGATGTTAGAATACGAAGAAAAACTTGCAGATTTAACCCACAGAATAAGAGAGCAAGAAGAACATATATTTAAAGAAGAATGGAAAATATTTACTGAATATATGGAGAATAATTGTACACAGCTGAAAACACTGGCAGCATTAAGATAAATTCAACAGAGTAAACAATATTTGATTGATGTAAAAGTGGAAAATTGAATGGTTATAGTAAAATATGCAGGAAAGTATGATTTGTAATATGAACTACAGAAGGAGAAGAAGGGAAGTCATTGGATATTTTAAAGGTTGTATAATGTTTACCGTATATACTTGAGTATAAGCCGACTTTTTCGGCAATTTTTTTATGCTGAAAAAGCCCCCCATGGCTTATACTTGAGTGAGGGTCCCTGGCAGAGGTGGTTGTCTATATCTATAGATATATAGATACAAATATATATATGTAAGACTGTTAGTTGAAACCAGTTGACGTTCCCAAACACTTTTCAAAGGCACCACCACAAATAATGGATTACATTAATCTAAAGTAGGCTGAATAAATGTAGCAGATCAAAGAGTTCATTTCTGAACAACTCTCACTGCAGTTAACAAGTTTCTAAAATGGGAAACTGTAGGAAAGTCAACTGTATTCACATGCACCGAAACAAGACAATATTAAACCCTAAAAGAACTGGAACATAATTGCACAGCTAGATTTGCTAACAATACATTACCATGAACTTTGTAAAGTCGTACTGTGTGTGTCAAATGATGGAAAAAAGTAGTAACTTCAGAAAAGATCCTCCCATGTGTAACTCGTATGATAGGTGGATCAGAGAAAACATAGGGCTGCAAAAAGACAAAAGCAAAATTATGTTAGTACTTTGAATCTTCACATTTCATTGTCTTGCTTAAGGGGGGGGGGGCACTGTTGTTGCAACCCTTCAGAGGAGCTCCAAAAAGTAGGAAGAAGCATGTCCCTCACACATCTTCTTTCACCACATCCGTGGAACGCCTTGAAAGAGCTCCAAGTTAAAATCATACTTTGTATGAGAGAGATGGATTTTGGGCCACATTTATCTTGTCAAAGATCCCTCAAGCTTCAACCAAGAGCTATATACAAAGGACAATTGTTATTCAACAATATCTGATCGCTAATTAAATAGTTTCCCCCTTTCTGGCACAGCTTTTCATAAAATTGGAATATTTATTTATGGAAATCCCAAGAAAACTGGGAGATGGCCTTCTCAGTCATCGGCAGCGACAGCAAGCCCCCTCCCCTTATAAATGCACAACCAGGAGCACATTTCAAAGGTCCTGATCGTTTATTGGCTGCCACATCTCCACCTGCCCCTCATCTGATGGAGGCCTGGGACAGGTGATTGTAGTTTTGGGGGTGGGTGGGTAACAGCTTCATGAGTCAAGCAGCGACCCCTCCCAGACCTAATTAGGTCTGTGGATTGGATGCTCCTCAATCCTGCTGTAGATCCCCGTTTCCAAAATGTTTTGTATCTGCAGTTTATCTTCAGTGAAAAATGAAGGCCCATTTCACTATCTACTTCAATATTTTAGGTTGGCTGTGCAGTTGCCCTTCCAGAAATGGAAAGCTTCCTTCCATTGATGGAAGAAGCTGTGGAGTACAAGACAATTCCCCCTGATTTCCTCACCTCATCTCTTAGAACCTAGTTCTCCCAATCCTTAAGGGTATGTTTTCAAGAAACACAAAGGGGACGCAGCAGGAAGGCGTAACCAGCAAAAATCACCCTGCCTCTATTTCTTCCAATAAGAGCATATCTGGATTAAGTCCATTTTTTTTTAGTGATACCTATATAACACGACAAGTGATAAAAATGTTCTTGATCAGATCCCAGTTTACCACTAATGGATAGCTAAATGAGCACTGACTCTCAAGAGATTCATCCTCCTATCTTCCCAGTCAGTCATGGCTCACTTTTCTCAATCCAGTGCTCTTCTGGGAGGTCACAACATCTATTTCAAAAGTGGGGGAAGTTTTCCACTAGCAGAATGGTACCTCTGGATCAAAGCCAGTATATACACTCTTCCCTGCTTTCCTCAATATGGTCCAAACACAAGCTTATTATTACCTTGGCGTCTCCATCCGGTAAGAAGAGATAAGCCCCACTCTTATCTCTGTTACTTGTAGTCCCATACCAAACAAATTCCATCTTGACACGGTGATTTTTATTATTTTCTTTCGTATTTACTTTCTAAAGGAATAATAAATAATAATAATAATAATAATAATAATAATAATACTGTTATTCCACATTATTTCAATCTCAAATAGTTAAATATACATACCTCAAGAAGTCCAGAATTCCCAGAGAACCAGACTTTCATGTAAGAGTTCTCTAGCATGATCTCATCCAGAGCATTCTGTATCTCTTTAACGTTGAAAACTCTATAGGGCTTGACTAGCTTAGCTTTGTCGTTATGATAGAGATTATAGTCCGCCAATGCAGCTTCCGAACTCAGACCCTCCAGCAGCTGGTAAACTCCAAAACCCAAGGGTGGTATACGAACCAAGAAAGAAATCTGTTAAGTGAAGGCAAAGAAAGGTTATTTTTTTCAATATCAAGAGCAGACATCCAAGTGTAAACAAAATTATTTGGTCCCCAAAGGATGACTTATACCAAGATCCCAAACTCACAACAGTGCTAGGAACTATTTTCTAATCAAAGCCAACATCCTTGTTATGAACAGACATGTGAAAATAATGGTACTCAAGAGAGCTAGATCTCATTTAGCAGGATTCTTTTCAGTTTATTAAATCCATGCTTTCCCCACAATAAAGCAGAACCTAGGACACAATATTAGCTACAATAGCTTCCTTTCAAAAAAACTGCATTCAGTCAAAGATTCCACTACATCAATTTATCCTCATTTGCTTCTATTCTAAGAAATTCAAAGGTAATGATGCAATCAAATTCTTCTACGTTTGAGAAATTTGAGGAGCAATGAATCAACAAAAAAATATTTTGGAGCAACAAACCATCCTTCTTTTAATCACTGCATGTACTCTTACTTGAATATATAAAGAATTGCTGTGCTTTTCTTTAAAGCTGTTTCACACAAGTAAAGACGCTTACTTATATTTCAAGCAAGAGACAGAAAGGGAAATCAAGAACAGTTATTTTCTGCATGCTCAAACACTACAGCTGCATCCCCTCAGTAGGTTTCTTGTACTTCAGCAGTAGCAGAGAAAAATGTTTTCATTTTGCACTTTTAGGAAACTGTTACAAAAAGCATAAGGATTATAGCAGAAAAAAATGTTGATGGAAATTCCACAGAATTTTATGAATTTGGAGAGCCAAGAGAATTTGAAAGGACACGTAACCTGGATTCTCCTTTCCCAGAGAGACAAACAAAATAACTTATTTTATGTTCAGAGAATTGTTAACTTCAAACTTACACATTCAGCTCTGACTTCTCACCACCAGGAAAAACATTAATTAAACTAAATATTTGAAATGAAAAAATGATGGTTTTTTTTGTCACTTTGGAACTATAACCTGGATTAAAAGAAAGCTTTAGTAGGACTACAATCCTATACCCAATTTCTTAGGAGCAACCTCCAAGAAATTAAAGTGAGCTTACTTCCAAGTAAACACACATGCTGTAGTAATTTTATGCACCTTCCAAGTCTCAAATGCATAGGCATCTCATTACTATTTATAAAGGGGGAGACAATAATCAAATCCCAAAGTTAAAATTATCACTTGTATGCTTTAAAAATTCTCCCAAATACATTATCTAGCAACAGTTGTAGATGACTGAATTCCGTTTTTGTTTGTCATTGGTACTACTACTTCCCACATACAAAACATTCACATGCTTGTTCAGTACACGTTCATAGATGTATTACAAATAGCTTACCTGGTATGCATCATATATTATTTTAGCAGCTCCATCCCATACTGCGGTAAGCTGGACCACAACTGGTCTTCCAGAAGGAGACAATACTTTAACTCGAGGTGTATTCACGTAGACTGAAACCACTGATGAGCGTTCTTGTTCTGTAGGGTTATAAATCAAAAGGTACCTGCAAGAAATGTTGCCAGATCTTTACAAAAACAAAGTTATTTGATCAAAGACTTCTTTTTTCACCTGAATTACCAAGCTAGGCAATTATACCAAGAAAACATTAAAACAAAAAGAATACATGGGCACAATGCATTTAGATGCACAATGCATCTAATATGCTAGCTAGATATTAAGAGTTTTTCTTTTAAGAACACTTTTGAAGAGAAAATACTGAAAAGTCCTTGGCAATTCTTTTTCAGATAAATCTATTCATTTACCAGTCACCTGAAGTGTTTCATGTCTAGAGCCTCAAAATACAGTTTAATATGGTGTGTATATTCTCTTAAAAGCATATATAACTTATTGAAATTACTTTATATCATTGGGTTGGGTTCAAATGAGCTTCCTCTGTTGGAGGAAACATTTTCCTCCTTCAGAAAGGTGCTTTTGAGATCTATCTGCAAAACACTGAATACCACCCAACAAACGAAGCCAAGTATTGTAGCTGAATCAAAGAACATCTGGACAGTTGCTATTTCTTAGCCCAAACCACAAGCAATTAGTATAGAAAGAAATGATGCAGCTATATCTTAAAATATGCATTCACATAAATTAAAGAGAGAAAAAAACTGTTGGAATATAATGAAAACACTGGTATACATTTTATCAATTTCTGTTCTTACACTTTCTATCACACTACTTTGTCTCAGTTACTTAACTTCCTAGGTGATTTCTTGCGGGAGCATATTTGTAAGCTGCACTGGTCAATGTGAATATAATGACATGACCTCTATTTAAAAGGTTGATATTTAAAGAATCCAAAGAGTTAAAAGCAACTGAATGACCCTTTCCCAATAAAATTCATCCAAAATTAACCTGAGAACAATGGCAAAGAAGAGTATTTATATTGCTAAACATTCAGATACCCCTTGTTTGAGTTACTCCCCATGTTCACTGGCATCTAAGAGACATGCAAGCGTCACCCACTTGCACATGATCAACTCACGTGTGACCGAGTATACATGCAGTGACGGGAAATAAATAATTCGATTCAAACCAGAAAGGAGTTCTTGTGGCTCACGAAAAGACCAACCCCAGAGCCGGAAGAGGGTATCAGTGAAGGTGGAGGAAGCCCTGAAGAGACTGGGCTTTGTTTATGCTGCTCAGCCTCCCCGCCTAACAGCTGATGTGTGGGGTAGTGCAGCCGCCGCTGCCACCACTTTCCCACACATCCCTCCAGCCTCCTGCCTGCTCCACAGCTTCAATTCTAGTTGTGGATATTTTTGGATAAAACATTCTTCTTCTTTTTTTGTATGGATTGAGGAGAGAGTGGCAGAGATTGCACTTCACACAACTTCACTTATGCACGCGCAGGCCTGCAATGTAACCCCCATGTAAGTGGGGGATGCCTGTACTAGTGAAACTCATCACGACGACGTGGTTATATATATGCACCACCCAGTTTTTCATCTCACCACTAGGAAGTACCAGCATGCCTTAAGCCTTGACCTTCTCAAGATTTATTCTGTTCTCTGTACAAGAGACCATATCTTATTCATTCAAATGTAGAACTACAGTTGCCTCTAACTTTACATGAGCTGCAACAAATTATGAGACACACCGCTTGCACTTCAACAGTTCAATCTAAGACACGAATATTTAAAATGATGACATAAATTTTTCTATGGGAAAAAAATGGCAGGAAATGTGTTGGGGTTTTTTGCATATTATTTTTATGTAGTGTAAATTCAATGTCCTTCATAGACATAGCCAGCCTAGGCTTGCACAGACTATGTAGATGCTTGATTCTGAGATATATTATTATTAATTATGTGGTGTCATCTATGTACATGGTACTTTCCACGGAATGGGAGAACAGATCCCCACCTCAAAGTTGCCTCTAATCTCTCTGAATTTTAACGTCTGTGAATAATAATAATAATAATAATAATAATAATAATTTTATTTTTACCTCACCCTTCTGGCTGGTTTCTAGGCATCTTACAACATATCTAAAACATAATAAAAACATCAATCCTTAAAAACCTCCCTATACAGGGCTGCCTTCAGATGTCTTCTAAAAGTCAGATAGTTGTTTATTTCCTTGACACCTGAAGGGAAGGTGCCACTACAGAGAAGAATTTCACAACAGAAATTCAGGCCATATAAGAACTTAATTCTATCCCTCTCTCCCTCTCTCCCTCTCTCTCTCTCTCTCTCTCTTTCCTTCAGCATAGTGTCTTTAAGAGATATTGATACAAAAGGAAAACCAAGTGACAAGTTGTTCTTGTTTCCACATCATCTGAACAGCAATTTAAAAATAACTGCTGCCTGAAATTGTCCTTGAATCTCCAAGCAGTGCAGATGTGGAAGTCCTATGTCAGATTAAAAACAAAGATGCACATGAACAGGAAGTTGCAATGCAGAAATATTATCCAAAGCCACTCTCTGGTGGGGGAAGGTCAGAGAATAATTTAATGATAAATGTACCTAGAACCCCCAAAAGTTGAGGTCAACCAAACTCAACCATGTATTAAAATGTAACTGGGGAACAAACAGAAGGGAAGGTGAAAGAGGAAATTAGAAGTCCAATAAGAAGAGGAAACTTATATTGTGATTTTAGCCAAGAATTAAGCCCGCAATTTGGGAAATGTAAACACCATGCAAACAACAGGGCGTGTCCTTGTCAATTTCAGGTACACAATTGTGTGTTTTACATTTATGACTAATACAGCTCTGCGATACTATTTTTAAAGCTTTGCATCAGTTCCATCACTTAAAACATCATGTCACCTGTAACAAGATAGAGATCTACAATAAAAATCAAGACACCACACTCACAAAAGACTCTACTTTACTCATACTATGTGGCACAGCACAACATCCACCCATGTGGAAAGACAAATGCTAGATGTAACCCACCCACCCACACACACACACAAAAGCATGGAGGCAGGTTTACTGAAGGAGGCTTTTCGTACCATCTAAAAAGGTCCCGTTAAAACTGGACTTAAGACAAGAACTCGGAGAAACTGAACATCTACCTCTGTTTCAGAGGCAATAGGCAGCCGTGCTGCTCTCACCATTCAGAGCACTTCTTTGTGGCACTGCCTCAGGGTCTATTGCTGGAATTGATTTCTTCCTTCAAAAATTTAAAATTGCTCTCCTGTTTCCATCAGCCAGAAAGACCCTGAAGAAAAAAATTTCCAGTCAGAACATTTTACCCCAGATTCAGTAGTGAGGCTTGGCCTAGTCCATCATTAAAGTGCTCTCCAAAATGCCAATTTCTCCTCACACCACTAAGTTTTGTCTGACTCTTAACTGCCACATTCCACGAAAATAACTATTCTGGAAGGTACCTGAGCTTTGGGCTCACGCACTAAAACTGGTGGTGGCCACCATTAGAGTTTTCACGAACAAAAAAGTGCCCCGTATGAAGTCTTGGGGCATTAGCACTACAAGCAAATAGCAAATTATGAGGTCATCAAGATCTGATTGCCCACACACAATAGTAACAGAACAGATGTTATCAAAAAGATTCCCGAAGAACATTTTCCAGAGACAGACGCCACCACCTGCTGCTCTTAACCTTTTTCAAGAAAAACACTTACCTCTATTAGTGCCAGAGATACTTTCAAGCAGAATTCATACATAAACATATGCCCGGACATGGCATCATATAAATTGCAACTAGGATTAAATTTCATCAAATCTGCTCTGAAGCAGGAAAATTTAATGAAACTCCTTCAATGATATAGTACTATATCTTCCAGTGTTTTGATTATGCAACAGCCAAATAGTTTGTTGTGATGGTGATTATAATAGTAGTAGAAGTAATTATTATTATTATTATTATTTCAGTAGTCACAAGATATAGAAATAAAGTGAAAGGTTGGGAAAAGGCAAATGTCTGCTTCTGAGAAAGCGAAGATGCTCATGCTCATTAGGTGACCATGAATATTACTGTAAGGTAATATGCAACCTCACACCCAAAATCTCATCTCTCAAAGCCTCAGCATATAAGTCAAAAGCCATCAATATAAATGTTTTTAATATCTCTGCCAAAAGTAGGAAAAAAATCCCATCTCTCAAAGCCTCAGCATATAAGTCAAAAGCCATCAATATAAATGTTTTTAATATCTCTGCCAAAAGTAGGGAAAAAACACCTGAATAAGAGCTAATGTATTTAAACTAGAAAACGATGCCTACAGAGAAAGAAATAATAATAAAGTCCAAACTTGAGCAGGTTTCTCAAGCAAATTGTACAAGGGAAAATGAAGTAGCATTACAAAATCTGTTCTACTACATGTATTTCCTTACATCAACATGTATGCAAAACAAGAGACTAATGGCCAAAAAAAGAACCGCCATGACAACACTCCTTCATGGAACTGAGCTGAGGCCTTAAAGGCTTTCATATGCACACCCCACACTATTTTGCCCAATCACATTACAAATATGATACACAATTCAGGTGATGAGATTGGGCTTTTGAGCATTGACAGCAATATTATAACCAATATTCATATGCTATTTACATTCATATAATATATGAATTTAAGCCCTAAATGGCTTAGGATCTAAATATTTGATGGGTTGTCTGCTCCCATATAAGGGACGCGGGTGGCACTGTGGTCTAAACCACAGAGCCTAGGGCTTGCCGATCAGAAGGTCGGCGGTTTGAATCCCCGCGACAGGGTGAGCTCCCGTTGCTCGGTCCCAGCTCCTGCCAACCTAGCAGTTCGAAAGCACGTCAAAGTGCAAGTAGATAAATAGGTACCACTCCGGCGGGAAGGTAAATGGCGTTTCCGTGTGCTGCTCTGGTTCGCCAGAAGCGGCTTAGTCATGCTGGCCACATGATCTGGAAAAACTGTCTGCAGACAAATGTCGGCTCCCTCGGCCAGTAAAGCGAAATGAGCGCCGCAACCCCAGAGTCGTCTGCGACTGGACCTAATGGTCAGGGGTCCCTTTACCTTTACCTGCTCCCATATAAGATTTCCGGGAAATGACAATCAGGTGAGTATGCCCTCTTAATGGTGCTAAATTTGCATTATGAACTAAGAGTGTGAGTGTGTGTTCTCAGCACCTTTTTGGGGAATGTTCTCTCCTCACAGATCTGACAGGCGTCAACCCTGATGGGTTTTTGGTGCCAGTTAAAAACCATTTTTATCTACTCAGGCTTTGGGCAGAACTGGTTGTGGGGGTAGGCAGCTTGTCCCTGCTGGAATCACTGGTATGTGGTATGTGATTATGGGTTTATGTCAGGCATAGACAAACTTGGCCCTCCAGATGTTTTGAGACTACAACTCCCATCATCCCTAGCTAACAGGACCAGTGGGCAGGAATGATGGGAATTGTAGTTTCAAAACATCTGGAAGGCCGAGTTTGCCTATGCCTGGTTTATGTTATTTATTCTTGGTATTTTGCATTTGTTTTTATACATTGTGCCCTACTTTGGGATTGTTTTAATAAACAGTGGGCTAAATTGCCAAAACAAACAATTTAAATATCTCATATATCTCATCAATCACGTTATATTCCTGTGCATACCATCTTCATGTTTTATGATATAGCAGTATATACTTTTATATTTAAAAAAACATTCTCAATTTAATCCTTTATGTCCAACCATTTTCTATAATCCCAGTAAAAGCAGAAGCACTTTGCACTCAAAACTCTAAATTCTCATCTACTTCGTAACTTACTCCAAAAGCCATCCTGCATCTCTGCCAGTTCCACAAATACTTCAAGATCCATGATGCTGTACCCACTGATGACAAAAGTGCATGCAAATCTGCCAATTTTTTTAACTCCACAGAAAATTTATACCACAATGCTACACGCTCTGGTGGATTTTACAAGGGAAAATGTAGCAGCACTAAAAATGCCGCTCCATTATATGAAGCAATCACAATAATTATTTAAATGAAAACATCCATTTAAAGGTGACAATATTGCACAGCATAGGTACACTTCAATAGTTTTATTTAAGTTTGTTTCTTCAAACAAATTTTAATTAGGCAAAGGTTACCTTTATTTTTTTACATCTGTTTGTATTTACTGCTCATAACTATTCTAAATAAGATTTGGTGTCCAACCTTACCACTACACTCACAAGCAATAAATACTTTCAGCTCAATTTAATCTCTCAACTACCAACTGAGTCTCTGAGACAGAGACAGAACAAGCAATTATGAGTCCGTGGCGCCAGCGCTCTAGACCCCAATCCTGTTAAATTCACCTTTTCCTTTGTTGCTCTCATTTTTCTCAAACATCCTCCCCTCCCTGCTAACAATCTTAAGAGCAACTCTGTTCTGATCAGATCCCTAAATTCTGAAGTCACTGGGTTTTTGTTTTCCTCTATGTAGCCACAAACTGATTTTGTGACCCCCCCACACTCTCAACATGTTCCTGAACTGACTTCATCACTCACTTCTCTCAGGTACACACACACACACACACACACACACACACACACGTGTTCGAAACTCCCATTGTTCTAGGCGCATTTTGCAACAGGGAACTTCATTAGGGTGAGCAGTTTTTGAGTTCTGGGTGCAGTACTGCGACTAATTCAGATTAAAATTGCAGAGTGGAAGGAAAAGTGGGCCTTTTTCTGCCTCCCCACTTCCAGCTGCTCTCTGAAGACTGGGGAAGAGACCCTCTTAAGAATATTAGAGGGGTGGGCAGGGGAAGGACTAGACCATGTGAAAAATGATTGTAATATTTTAGCAGCAATTCATTCATTTTCAGCTTTGTATTCTTGTTATTAAAAAAAGTGTGCCTGGACATTCTGTTGTTGCATCCATAACCAAGATTTAAGGAGCCATTTAGCTCCTAGCTTTCATATCTCTGTTTCTAATACTGCACAAACACTCATGGTTGGTGAACATATGCGCTGCTGTCCCTATTCTTTCAACTATTTTCCTTATTAGGCAGTATAAAATAAAGCATAGTATTTTTCATAGCACAGGTGGTTCTGTTAAACTAGTATATTGTCTTGCTGCTGACCTAATGCCATAAAACACAAGGTGAGGACTCCGAGCAAACCCAATGAAATCAGTTCACTTAACTATACCGATTTCAATGTGACTACACAAAGTAAGTAGGTTAGATATCATATCACAGCTTGGGTGATAACCTATGGGGGGAAAAACTACTAATGGCAGCAAATGGCAATACATTAAAGTCCAGTTGATTTTCAAAGTTATGTAAGGACTCTCTTGCAACCTGAAGAGGCAGAACACACACCCCAAAATGGCAAGATCTATAGGTAACCTGTAAGAAACTGAGTATGTCACAAGCTGTATGTCATCTACCACAACCACCATGTATAAATATCAGCTAAATAAACAAGCTTGAGCCTGAAAAAGATTTATTTATCAGCTGAATTCAACAGTAAAAATATTTCCTGAAAAATCACAACAAAAAGCCTACAAACAGTATCTGACTACACACAAGTCTGGAAGGGGTAAAGCAAAGAGAGGCACTAGAAGAAATCTGATTAAAATTAAAGATAGCACAGACCTCTGCCTGCTCTCTCCTGACGAGTTATGACAATTCCTAGACTTTTGCTGCATTTATTTATTGTAGTACAGTGGCCAAGAGCATAAATTATGAAATGAAGGTTCTTGATTTCAAGCTCAAGTTTTTAGTACGGAATAATAAAGTTGTGCAAGCTTAAAAGACCATTGTAAGAAATGGTGAAAAATGATATTGGAAGTACTTTCAGCGCACTGAGTAAAAGTTAGTTGAATACAATCCAGTGTACACCCACTGAAATTAATGGACCTAAGTTAGTCATGGTCATTAATTTCAATGGGTGTACTCTGGGTAAAAGTTAACTTAATATAACTTTTTATATTTCTATAGTACACTGCAGTAAATTTTACCCTTCTTAAGAAGTCAGAAACATGTACCAAATTTTAAGCCAAACCTTTACAGAATCTCGAAGCCTATATTTTCCAACATCTTTTTAAAATGTCCTAAGCACTTTTCTTCAAATGTATCAAGGATTTCTGCAAATATTACAATTGTGGTAGAAGAATCAATAGGTGACATTCAAAGGTGTTTCCCACTTGTGGAATTAATATCCACTCACCTAATGGGACTTCTTTCCCCTGCAGCCCCAAAATTTGGTCTTGAACTGGCTCCCACTCTCAGACAAAAGACTCAGAGGACTCTCAACTCAGGAAATCCCAAAGGATTTATTGATAATTCAGCACACAGTCTCAGTATCAGCTCAAGTACAGAATACATCGTTCATGAGAGTTCTAGGATCATGGCTAGGCATAAGCAGGCACCATCACAGGACCGGTCGGTTATGTGGTTCTCATCCCCAGCAAAAACCTTGCAAGGAAGCACTCCTACAAGGGGAGATGCTGGATCTGTTCAGATGGTGGCATGTCTTTTGTGATGGGTACAGAGTCCAACTCCCTACCTCTAACTCAGCTGGCTTGGCCGAATGGCTACCTGCCTCCTTGGCTACCCTGGAAACTTTGTGCTCAGGAGACTGAATAGGAACTGACCCAACAGACTCCTGCTCCCTTACAGAAGAATTCAGCAGCAGTGCCACACGACCCTCTTCTCCATCACTACTGGAAACTTCCCCACCACCAACTGAGGCTCTCGTCCTCTGACAGATCCTGCCATGCCTACCCTTGTCCTGGCTGTGGCCCATGACAGCTCCGAAGGTTGAGTTGAAAGACCCACGGCTGCAGATAAAGAAAGCCCTGCTGAATGCACTTGTGGCACTAGATAATCACCTAGTACCTACACCAGGTAATCAGACCATGGGTTTTTATCTAGCACAGATATGCAAAGAAAGATATACAGTGGGACCCCGGGTTACATACGCTTAAGGTTACATACGCTTCAGGTTACAGACTCCGCTAACCCAGAAATAGTGCTTCAGGTTAAGAACTTTGCTTCAGGGTGAGAACAGAAATCGTGCTCTGGCGGCCCAGCAGCAGCAGGAGGCCCCATTAGCTAAAGTGGTGCTTCAGGTTAAGAACCGTTTCAGGTTAAGAATGGACCTCCGGAACGAATTTAGTACTTAACCCGAGATACCACTGTAACCGCATTGTCTGTTCCAAAATTAGGTTTACAGTCATACCTCGGGTTGAAGTTTCTTCAGGTTGAGCGCTTTCGGGTTGCGCTCCATGGCGACCCAGAAGTAACGGAACATGTTACTTCCAGGTTTCACCGCTCGTGCATACGCAGACGGTCAAAATGACGTCACGTGCATGCGCGAAAGTGGCGAATCGCGACTCGCGCACACACGGGTTGCGTTTACTTCAGGATGCGAACGGGGCTCCAGAACGGATCCTGTTCATTTTTAACACCACCCATAGCCTCCTCATCAACATTATATCCAAGAAGACAGTTCTGATGTTTATACAAACAATTCTGTAAGACAGGCAACACCTAAATTGCAACCTTTGCAAACTAACCAGACGTTCTATGGTGACAACCCATAACCCTCTGAAATGCTCTACATCAGCCTCAACCTGGTGCCCTCCTGATGGTTTGGATACAACTCCCTTTGGCTCCAGCCATCCTATTTAGGACTAATGGGGGTTGTGCTTCAAACATCTGGAGTGCATCAAGTTGGCATGCAACCCACTTGAGACCTATCAAAAATTACTTCAGACGTTCGTAAGCAGAAGGTAAGGCGGCTGTACAATCTTTGCTGAGCCTCAAAGTATTTATTGCTGAGCAATAAATACTTAAGCCGTACTTGGGCTAGACCACTCATTGCCTCTTCTCCCCCACTCAAGTATTATTGGTTACGGTTGCCATACCGAATGAGACTATCAAAAATGCTGATCTCATGGCAAGACAAAGCATGTGAAGAACTTCCATAGTCTAGAAAAGAGCAATTCAGAGTCTCCATGACACTGTTTGCAAACTATTGGTATTATTATTAGAAGCTGCACAAACACCACTTCCAATTCCATAGGTTAGAAAAGAGAAAGGGGTCATGACCACAGGTTTCATAGCCCTGCTTTGCTGAACACAGGGCAGTACTATGAGGGCTACCCCTACGGCTGCAATCCCAGTACTAGTGGCCCTTATGACAGCAACGGAGATATCTGCTGTAACTATTACCACAGACAACTAGGCAATTACAAAGTTTCAGTGTCATTCACTTCTGTACAAACTTGCACACAACATACTAATTTAAAACACCACATTTCTGAACTAGATAAGATACCTATAATATTAATAAAGCGGTATTCCTAGTGTTCCTTCTTGAAATGAGCTAGAGTTCAACTCAAAAAAAGCATCAAACTGCAAATTCTGGAACACTACAGTAATCAATTCTTTCACCTAGTTTATTTGCTACCAATATTGTTGTTCAATATTGAGAAACACTGAAGTATATCAAGACATTATGCTACACAGATACTATGCAATAGTATAATACACAGTACACAGTATAGTATAGTACACAGATACTATGCAATACTAAGACATTTCCAACCATAAGCAGTGTCAGCTTTTTAAAAAAAAAGAGAGAGAGAATAAATTATGTTTTGCTTAACCCTACTGCTCAGTGCTTCTGTGACTATTTCACAGCAGATTAAAAAGGCATTGTCATGGTTACCTTTCTTAGCTAGAGGTGTATCTATCACCTTCATTGTAGAGCTTTCAGCAGATGCTGAAGACACACCTCTTTACTTTGGTCTTTGACATCCTTTATTTATTTATTTAAACTGTGTTGGTTCATTATTTTAATGATTTTGTCTGATATTAAATTGTATGGCTATATTGTTGTAACTCGCCATGAGACATTATGGTGAGGGCTACGTAAGTAATCCTATAAATAAATATGTATTTAAGTGTCTGGTTATTAGAGCAGTTTTTCAAGCAAAGCATAAGCTTTGAGATGAGATATAGATGGTACTTTGTTTTCTCAATGTCGCCCTATTGCTAAATCCTCAAATGTATTTCTTTTAAAAAAACAAACTATGGCTTTAGACTTGGCATATCAAAAAATGCAAACATAAATTAAATGACACTGCTTTGGGAGTTATCTATAACTTTTCTTCCTCCCACCCAAGCTTCCTATTCTAATTTCTTCATAAATCATGAACTATCCTATTTTAATGAATTAAATTTGCTTTATTTTTATTTCATAAAATGTATACACTGTAAATAAGGAAATCTCATCTCTATTTACAAAAAAGGAAAAAACATTAACTAAAAATTAATTTACTGCAACTATACCACCTTGATTTTGTAATTTTAGCAAGTCCTGTAATATCTCCCTGAAACAGCTTAGTTTATTTTTAAAAAAAATCAAAACAATAGTAGAACTTTTAACATTCTGCGTATTCTCATGTATTAAGAAAGAAAGCATTTACCTTGGCTGTTTACTCAGTTCTATGACAGTCTTGTGTGGCAAAGAGTCCTGTGTAGACTGCGCATCATCCTTCCAATGGGAAAAATGTTGAGGTTACTTGCAGATACAACACAGAGCATAAGAAGAAAAGTCTATTTGAAAATTCACCAAGGCTGCAACCCTGTACCCACTTATCTGGCAGCAAGTCTCATGGAACTCAGTGGATAGGACTGTGCTGCTGAACAGAGTTGAGCCTGCCATGCCACAGAACGCATGAGGCCATTCAAATCCCATTCACTTTATTTTTAAGGAAGTATACTGATCCCTCTTTAATTGTCAATGTTTTGAGGGTGGCTTATGAAATTTAGTAATAAAATCAAATCCACCAATAAAATGGCTTGGGATCCAAATATATGAATGAGTGCCTCTTTACATACTAATTCTCCTATGCTTTGAGACCTTCAGGGACCTCCTTATTTCAGAAGTCATCATTCAAGAGGGAAGGCTACTTCAGTGGCAACGTCCTGGGCCTTTGGAACATCCTCCCCAATATTGCAAATCTTCTGGTGCCATGTAAAATCGTTGTTTACTGACCCAGATGTTTCAAATCCATTGCAAATTAATTTTATGCACTGCACTTTATACTTTTGTTTTTGTATTACCATGACTGATGGTCCACTGCCCTCAAATTCTAAGGGTGCGGAAAAAATGTTTAAGCCACCACCACAAGATAAAGCAGATAAAAGGAAGCACTAAAGTGATCTCAGCAAGAATTAACAGGTAGCAAGCCACACACCACTGAGAGAGCCTCTCCCCATCACTATCTGCCTCAACCTCAGATGACGAAGACACCTGGAAGAAGGGACCTGAAGTAGGTATCAGTGCACAAATAGTTCAAGCTGAAGTAAATGACTGCTCTAGGCAACTCAGCTCCTCTGTCTGGGAATTTGGAACTCTTTAATCATGCAAATTATACAAGATGTGATTTGTCATGCTTTCATGCTACAGTTTCATACAGTCAAGCTATTTTAAACTCAAATAAGAAATAACCAATGAAATAAAATTACGGGGGGGGGGGGAGTTTTTCATTTTTGTTCACTATTTAACTATTTGAGAAGCCAACTGGAAATTGTTATAGCTAGTCACAGTACCTAGCCTGTTGCAAGCACAGTTAGTTTAGGTGTAACATTCACTGTACTACAACTTAACTTGGTCATCCAGTATAATTGTATTATACAGTACCTTGTAAACAATGTAGGCATCTAACAGTGTTCGTTCACTCAAAGAATGAATTTGTCAATGGAACAGGATGGGGAGGGATGCCATTTTCAGCAATTTTCCCTCCCCCTGCAACTCCCCTAACTCTGCTCAGGGGGTTTGAAAGGAACACTGAAAATTATCTCCCTTCCCCTCATGCCATTGACATTCTTTTCATCAAGAGGACACAGTTGAACACCACATGAAGTAAATGGCTAATAAGTTCACCAGCAAAATTTAGCACATTCCTTCTCCCAAACCTTTTTTTTATGGTATGATTACAAAAAAATGTTGTCCAGGCTGCATTAGGTGCCAGGTGAGGTGCATAATGCATCCAACCATCTCAAGCTAAGAACCTAAAACAAGACTGGCCTATTCACCAACACAATTGTGGCCTCCTGGAAAGAATTTCTTCATGATTATAAGGATTATTACCACAAACTCACCATTGTAAGAAATGGGGTTGATGGGTTGTAATGATACGTTTCTTGGTCCTTTAGAATAAGAACGTGAGCAGAATCAGTGATAATTTTCTTCACGTTTATTAACGAATGGAATAGCCTGTGAACAAAATAAATACTGCAGCTGTGGGAGGTTGGATTCAAGCATTCTTTATGTTAAAGGGCTACAAAAAAGCAGCAATTACTAAGTGTTGACTAACACAAAGCTATTAATAAGTTTACTTAAATATAAAAATCAAGAGAAGTTTGTCTAAAATGGGAGACCAAATAATCAGATCTCCCCTCAAGCCAAGAAACATACCAGAAGCAGTATGAAATGCATGACACTTACCTAGTGCCATAATCCACAACAACCCAGTCTTTAGCTGTTCCTGTGATAGCATCATGATGTTGAAAAAGTCCCAAGTTTCTTCTAGCTTCTGTTAGTAATTTGTAGTGGTCCACTGAAGGAAATGCTTTCATTTTCTCGGTTTTTTTAGACTGTACCAGAGCCAAGGAGTAAAGAATTTCAGCAGCCCTGAAACAAAAAAAGATGTATTTTTTTAAAAAAAAATGTTTACAGTATTTGTATACCACCTTTCAACATAAAGGTTCCCCAAGAGGTTTCCATAATACAACTGAACAAGACTTGCAACATCCTATTATTCACTTCAGCATTAGGTCAATGAGAGGCTACTTTCTTTCAAGGATCTGAAACACAAGACTAACAAAGCCTTAAGTATAAAAACTTGTTTATGCTTAGAACTACTTAAAATACACCTAGCATCTAGCTCCGAAGTCTTGCAGATAGCTGCCTGACGCCTGGAGAGCGAGAGGGGCTGGTGCGCACCGACCCCTCTCGCTCTCCAGGCATCAGCGAAAGCCTGCATTCGCTCCATAGGACGCACACACATTTCCCCTTCATTTTTGGAGGGGAAAAAGTGCGTCCTATAGAGCGAAAAATACGGTATTTGAAAGAACCCACTTTGGTGTGGTGCGCCATTTTCCCACTCCACCTGCATTTCCTTTCCCAAGAAGAACTCAAAATACAGGAAATGCTAGAAAACTCCAAACTAAAAACGTATCGAACACATTTGCTGAAACATGGGAGGAAAAGAACAGGAGATGTGTAACTCCCCCAACACAAAACACCAGTGTTCACAGGCAAATGGAAGCACCAACCTTTCTTTCCAACCACCCTAGCACTTCCTTTCAAAAGAAGGGTTGCAAGACCCATCATGCCAGTCAATCTGGCCTTTTAGCTAGAGGACAACCCAGCACTCCTGGTCCCACACTATATTGTTCAGGGAAACAGGCACAAGATCAGTACAACTGGAAGTAACCCCACATTTGAAGTAGTGCAAACTAACTCAACCTTAAGGGAAAAACCCTCAGGGGGGTCCCATGCCCAAAAAAGCCAGTGACCCTACTTACCTTATATATGACTCTAGAATCCTATCTAGGCGTTTGTAGAAGGGGCGTGAAGTAAAATATCCACTCCAGTAATGATTATCTCGGTCTGCATATGTGAAGAAATCGCCACTCAGAACAGGAAACACTGAATTACTGTTCTTTTCATCCAAATTACTAGCTTTACGGAGAGCCTCAAAATAATCTGACAAAGTCCCAAACTGAGCCTGAAGCAAATTAAAATATGGTATATAAGTTCTTTACACTGCGTTCAGTCGAAGCACATTTTGTTCTTGGAGACCAGCGTTTTTGGCAGGCATCTGCTGTTCCGTTTCAGTACTGAAGCTCACGTTGCTTCCATTAGCTCTGGAATGGAACCTACCCTCATCCTTTCTCCACCCCACCCACCTTCTCTGTAGACATAAATCATGAATCTTCAAGTCTGAGAATTTATAGAGAGAGTCTAAGAATTACATTCAGTGTTCATGCATACAGTAAGCCAGCAAATTACATGGGAGTTATGTTCCAGGGTTCACGACGGAAGTCAAAACTGTGTATAGTCAAAACATGCTGAGTGCCATGGCAGGTGGGACTGCCAAATACTCTCCCCCCAACACACACACCTGCCCACTGTTTTAAACACCAAGCATGTAAAGTCACCTGAATACGACTTAGTTGTATATCACCCACATTTTCTTAAAACATGTGTAGGAATATGTTTACTATGAAGTATATTTATCTGTGTTCAAGGTGGCTTACTGCAGCTGTATTCATTCTAGAGTTCTTTCTATCACTGAGAATGCATAACCAACCAGCAAAAAAGCAAAACTGAAGTTTAAATGAACCGCGAAGGCAATGAAATCCATTTAACAACTGACTTATAGCAGGACTGTACCTTACCTTAACATGGAACTCTGGGTGAGAATTCATGTAATCAAAAAGCTTCTGATAATTTTGATACTGCTGATCCCATTCTGAACTCTCAGTGTAGCGGAAATCATCTCCCAGTGGAGCCAACAAAACTTTGGTGCGGAAAAGCTTCGATTTCTTTCTGTACTGATCTAAAATCATCCATGCCCTTAGAAAAAAATATAATTTGAGAGGGAAAGATAGAGTAAGTGGATAAACCAACATGAACATGTATTTTGCAACAATACTCATTCTTACTAAGTCTGCAAAATTTCACCTGACTGGGGTGAATTAAAGTTTTCTAAAAGAGTTATGGCAGCCAAATTGATTTGATGCCAATAGTTCTGACCTACAGTTCTGACAGCAGAAGTGAGGAGGAAGAGCAACTGGACTAATTTTTTTTTTAATGATTGCAAGTTGGGGCACAACTCTTCAAAATAAATAAATAAACTGGTGCAACCCAGTCCTATGCATGCTTCTTGAAAACAAAGTCCCACCAAGTTCAATGTGACAATATTCCAAAGTATATATAAGGCTGTAGCCTTAGATGATTTGTGTTCAGTCAGTACAAGGAGCACAAATACTACAATGCTTCTAAGGTAATGGTAAAGGTACCCCTGCCCGTATGGGCCAGTCGTGTCCAACTCTAGGGTTGCGTGCTTATCTCGCTTAAGGGGCCGGGAGCCAGCGCTGTCTGGAGACACTTCCGGGTCACGTGGCCAGCATGACGAAGCTGCATCTGGCGAGCCAGCACCAGCGCAGCACACGGAAACGCCGTTTACCTTCCCGCTGTAAAGCGGTCCCTATTTATCTACTTGCACTTAGGAGTGCTTTCGAACTGCTAGGTGGGCAGGAGCTGGGACTGGAAGACGGGAGCTCACCCCGCCACGGGGATTCGAACCGCCGACCATACGATCAGCAAGTCCTAGGCACTGAGGTTTTACCCACAGCGCCACCCGCATCCGTTCACAATGCTTCTAAAAGTAACTTAATTATAAAAGAATCAATGCATCGACAAAACACTTATCAATGAAATTTCAACATTTAATATTGTTTTTCAACCTATTTAGGTTTTATAGTTTAAATTCCATGCAAATCACATGGAATTTAATTCCATGTAATTTCCTCTGTTCTCAAGTACATCTAATCTTTGCAGTTCACGGTCCAGAAGTACAGTGGTACCTCGGGTTACAGACGCTTCAGGTTACAGACTCCACTAACCCAGAAATAGTACCTCGGGTTAAGAACTTTGCTTCAGGATGAGAACAGAAATCGCGCAGCGGCAGCAGGAGGCCCCATTAGCTAAAGTGGTGCCTCAGGTTAAGAATAGTTTCAGGTTAAGAACAGACCTCCAGAACGAATTAAGTTCTTAACCCGAGGTACCACTGTAACATATTTTCCCCAACATCCACTAAAATCAACAGATTCTTTTTTTAAAGGATTCTTTTTTAAAAACAATGATGGAAGACAGCAGACTTAGGTGTCTGTACTATAAAAACTGTCTACATCCCAATCCACAGAGAACACGCTTTCAAGAAATTGAGAGCTTCTGTTGTACAGCAGAAAGGATATTCTGCTCAAGGAATGCTTCCAAGAGCTTTAGTTTAAGAAAATCCCAGGACAGTTGCAACAATCATAAAACACACTTAGTAAAAAGCATAGGGTAAAAACTGTAAAGTTAAAACAAGCTTAGTTTGCCCACAGGGAGATCTGCATAAGCAAAAAGATAATTTACCCGGCTTGGAAAAGAAATCAAACTGAGTGCCAGATAAGACCGATGGGGTGGGGTTGTCAATGCAGGGCATTCTCTCCTGTTATCACTTGTCTCCCTTCAGAATAGGAGGAGGGAAGAGACCTCTGATGACATTAGTATACATCCAGGCTCATGTGGGGCATTAATGGTCCTTATAAATATTTAGCTAGTAAAGAATTCTCAACTCAGTTTATTATCATTTCCTAGTTTTGTATAGATGTCCAAATTCTTCAGAACTGCCACAAGATACAAAATACTTCAGTAGAAAACGATGAGGATCAAAGGACATCAAAAGCAATAGAGTGGTACCTTGGTTTACAAACTTAATCCGTTCCGGAAGTCCTTTCTTAAACCAAAGCGTTATTAAACCAAGGCGCACTTTCCCTAATGAGGCCTCCCACTGCCGGTGCCCTTCTACCCTTGGCTTCCGTTCTTAGACGGAGGTAAAGTTTGCAAACCGGGACACTCCTTCCGGTTTTGCGGAGTTCGTAAACTGAATAATTCGTAAACAGGGCTGTTCGTAGACTGAGGTACCACTGTACAGTCGTACCTTGTATCCTGAACGCCTTGCGAACCAGTTTCGGCTCCCGAATGCTGCAAACCCAGAAGTGAGTGTTGCGGTTTGCAAACGTTCATTGGAACCCGAACATCCAACGGGGCTTCTGCTGCTTCCTGCAGCAAATCAGAAGCTGTACTTTGGTTTCTGAATGTTTTGGAAGTCGAATAGTCTTCTGGAACGTATTCCGTTCGACTTCCAAGGTACGACTCTATTGTAAAGCCTATTCCAAATTAATGATTGTTCAAAGACAAGGTGCAGCTCCCTGCACAAAGTGAGACTTCATCCCAAGGGATTCAGGGCCATCGTCGCTGTCTGAAAATATGAGACAAGCCACCTGCAGGGTCAGTAAGATCACCCATACCTCTTGAAAAGCCAACTTTTATACATATTAAATTTATTTAATTTCCACATCCTACATACTTTGAATTTAGATGGTTGACATTGTTCCAAGATATGACTGGCCATGAAATTAATGGGCAGCACTGTGTACTTACCTGTGCTGAATGTTTCCAGAATGAATGGCTTCAGGAGGGACTCTCCAGGGACAACTGACTCTTCCTCCAGGAAGGCGCTTAAAATCAAATTGGCAGCAAATTTTAGGATCTGGTCCGCAAGTGTGAGGAATATCATAGCTATAAAAAGGCATCATGTGGCAGAGAATATCCGTATTAGATCCCAAATCTAGAATTAAAATAGGCAAGATAAAGATAAAAGGAATACTCTGTCCTTTCTCATTCATATCTCATTCATACCCATTACATGACATGCCTTTTCTCTAACAAGAACAACATTTCAAAGAATTTTTATTTACACCAGTAAAATATGGTAAAGGTAAAGGACCCCTGGATGGTTAAGTCCAGTCAAAGGCGACTATGGGGTTGCGGCGCTCATCTTGCTTTCAGACCGAGGGAGCCGGCGTTTGTTCACAGACTGCTTTCCGGGTCATGTGGCCAGCATGACTAAACCGCTTCTGGTGCAACAGAACACCGTGATGCAAACCAGAGTGCAAAGAAATGCCGTTTACCTTCCCACCACAGCAGTACCTATTTATCTACTTGCACTGGTGTGCTTTCGAACTGCTAGGTTGGCAGGAGCTGGGACAGAGCAACAGGAGCTCACCCTGTCGCAGGGATTCGAACTGCTGAACTTCTGATCAGCAAGCCCAAGAGGCTCAGTGGTTTAGACCACAGCGCCATCTGCATCCCATTTCCACCAGTAATTAGCTCCAGGTATGCTCTTTGGCCTGTACTTTTTTTGACAAGTCTACTGATGTAATACGGAAGTCCATGTGTGGTATCTATGTCACTTTAGGCCATGTCTCCCTAGGTCTGTTATTTAGTGCACCCATTTAGAAGGACCCATCATGAGCCAAAAAACTGTCATTCCATCTTATCAGCTGACAGAATGAGTACTTTAATAATTTCCCATTCCATAATCTGAAATTGCAGTTGGAAGGCCTTTGGAAGACTGTTGGATGACAGCAAACCGTAACAAGTTTTGCAGCTATAAATGGTCTTATGACACAAGCTACCTCCCATACCTGTGGGCCTGGTAAGCTTTGCAAACCTGGCAATGATACCCAAACTGCCAATAATTCACCACACAGTAAAAATAATTCACTGTATATTCAATCCAGTAAGCTTCTGTTATTCGAGTTAACATGAGATGACCAGATTGATTGCTCACAAATACTTCAATAACTCAGTGTCTTAAAGATAAATATAACAGTGTTAAGTAAAAAATAGTGCAGAGAAACCCAATGAAATACAATGCCAGGCTACCCTGAAATGCCAAATTCAATACAGAAGAGAATGAAACAGCTTCAGAAGCAACAGGTCTAAGCCCCGGCTCAAAAACATAGAAACACCATCTTAATAAAGCAATCTATCATTAGAGACTTACAAACATTGTGTTTCTAAAAAGGAGACTTTGAAAGTTGATCATCTTCATCAGTGCATTTAAGCTAACCCACTGAAGTCAGGGGGGGAAATGGCTCCAATCCTTAGACCCAACCCATCTACTCCAAGCTTTCCTCAATTTTTATTTTATAAAATTCCTTTATTATCTTTGTTAGCACTGTCTACTCTGCAGAGGCAAAGAAGGAAGAGAAACCATGCAGCCCCCAAAATAGGGTAAACTAAATTTTGATCAATTCCACCACCCAGTTTTACTCAATGGATTTTTTTCAAAGCAATGTCAAAAAATTTGCCTGCTGAACATAACAAGAATACTGGTAAATAAATCTGTTTAGAGCCATAACCACACTTTTTTGAGCCACAGATACAATCATAATCTCACTTGTTGCATAATTTTAAATCCCTTAATTATATATTGTACATTGGCCTTGGGGTTCTTTGTAGTATTGCTTAACAATATGTTGTGTGCTTTGCTTATTAGTTCTTGTTGTGTATACCAAACTTTGAACTTGGCAAGTGTGCTGTACAAAGAATTCGGGACACTACATTTCCTTGCATAAACTTAACATGCCAAATATAGTTGAGACAACTTCCTACAGCAATGGAGGATTAAGTTTAATAATATAGCTTTCTGGTGCCAAATAGTTTCCAGGCTAGGTCTGCCATACGTCCGGATTTTCCTGGACATTACCAGGATTTTCAAAGGTGGAATTGACATCCAGGGGAATTTTCGAAAAGCAGCACTTTGTCATGGATCTTAGGCAACTCAACTTTCCGGGTGCCCTGATTTTTACTTTTTGAAATATGGCAACTTTAACCCAGGCACTTTCCAACATTTGTTTCCCTCTGTAAAGTATAACCTTTGCCTCTGTCTCAAATAGAAAGAATTGCCTGAAACACTTTCTATCTTCAGTTTTCCAAAGCAAACTCCAATTATTCCTCAATCACTAAGGACAAAGAAAGAATCTCTTTGTTTGCCAGCATGAGCTTTAAATAGCTATATTACATAGTCACTCCCAGCTTTTCAAACTTTAAGGTGCTGCTTTCAGTACTTTATGTGATGTGACACAGGTGAGCTCCACATGCAATTTCTTGAAGGTCACTGAGCATTTTCAGAGTTCTGTAAAAGTAACACTCATTTAACACCTTAACATCCTTGTGACCTGCAATCTGGAAATAGCTAAAAGGAGTATAAAGAAATGGCAAAAATAATCCTATTTTCCACTGCTGATCCCTTCCCCATGACATGGCTTCAGTGAACACTGACCAACCTGATTACAATTATTGTATATTTTAACCTACTACCCACCACAGTTTTTAAGAAAAAATCTGTTATGAAGACCTGTTTTGACAATTCCAGTGCAAGATGAACGCTGGGCAAGTGTGAACGCTGTACTAAATCATGGTTTAATTCTAAATGGCGGCGCATGCCTAAGAGAAGCAGGTTCACACATTTCCCTCTACCCCATGCTAAACATTAACCAACCACTGTTGTAAGTCAGAATTCCTGACTTATCCATAAAACTAAGTCAAGGTTATTTGAAACTGAAAGCAAACATGACAGAAGGTCTCCTCCTGACTGAAAGAGAAGAAAAAGAACGTGAGCCAATGCTTTACTTCGGCTCCATCACGTAGCGCTAAACCATGGTTTAGCATTATGTGCAAACCAGCCCATTATCTTTTCATTTCTGAATAGCTATATTTTTGTGTTTCAGCAAAACCGAGCAAGACTCCTGCAGCACCTTACAAACTGAAATTTTTTATAGTATGAGCTTTCGTTAGACTAAAGTCTAGTGCACCGGATGAATAGTGTATTGCATGTAGTTCTATAAATCATTTTGAAGTTACAAATTAGTTCTGAAGATAGCAACATAGAAAACTGTATTATCTATTAAATGTTCCGGGTCAAAGCAAGACCTTTCAGTTTCAAAGTATTTGTTGCTATGACAGTTCTTGGCATAAGGTCATGCAAAAAAGGAATACATACCCCAATTCTGTCTCCAAAAAAATTCTAGTGTCTTCTGGGCTGCATGATACTTTTTAATTGAATAATGAACTCTCTGTATAAGCATATTGGAAAATCCAGTGCGTTTCAAAAGATAAGCCATGGTTGGTGAATGTCCAAAGGGATCAACTGCCCAACCAGATTTTGGTTTCACTCCTAATAAAAAAAGAATACATGTTGAAAATGCACGCCATAGTGGAATAAAAATGAAAGTGCACCTAGTCTTGCACAGTTAAGATCTCATCCTATAGAAACTCAAATCCTTACCACTTAACTACGTTAAAAGAGGGGGGGAAGATGACCCAGAAATTTAATTTACTTATCAGGGAAGAGCTTTTATAATTCGGCTAGTGTTTGTTTATGCACCTGCGGATTCACGGAAAATAAATATTTTTTTTCTCGTATCAAAAATGTCTGGCTCGCACCCCTAACCAATTATGCAAGAATGAAAACAAAACAGTATGGCTAAAAATGACATACCACTTGTCTACAGGACTGCAATTATACTTTACTAATTGAAGTTGTTGTTTTTCAAGTGGCATTTATTTTAAGGATTCTTTCTACGCAATTTTTAATTGCTTAAGTTCCAAATTACACATTGGGAATGTCAAGACTGCAATCTCTTAATAATTATTAAGAGACTAGCATGCTCATCCTCCCACATGTAAAGTCACCCTCCTTTTTTAAAAGAAACTAACCACTGTGCAGAATTATGGCGGCACCAATTTTAACCATTAGTAGCTCAATCATGTTTTTTTTCTTCAAAGCAGGGCACTTTGAAGCTAGCCGTGATTAGGATTACACTACAATAGATTCTGACCAGGAAAGCATTTAAAAATGATTACTATGGCAAACCACTGCAGTCTATGGATAAAAATAATCAATAGCAGTAAGTAACTGAATTATTTATTCTGATCTGTAGGTGGTAAGAAATCTGCTGCATTAACCGTTTTAGGCTTAACTGAGTTCTCTGAGTTTTCACAATGACATCTGCTTCCTCTATAACTCTGGGTAAAGCGAGTTTCACCATATAAAACTCAAAGGTACACTATTACATAAACTAAAAACTGTTATTTATAACTTTCCTGCAACTAATGTACAGTGGTACCTCGGTTTAAGAACAGCTTAGTTTATGAACAACTTGGATTAAGAACGCTGCAAACCCGGAAGTAGGTGTTTTGGTGTGTGAACTTTGCCTTGGAATAAGAACATGTTTCGCTTCCTGTTGAGTGTGTTCCATTTGTTAAGTGAGTCCCACTGAGTCCCCCGCTGCTATGGGAAAGCATGCCTTGGTTTAAGAACGGACTTCCGGAATGGATTAAGTTTGTATACCAAGGTACCACTGTACTGTGGTTGTCAATGTTGAAAACTCAATCATTTAATTAACGGGAAACAGTTTTTCTAAAATACTGTTAATGAAATAAAATACCTTGTCACAATGAAATCACAAGGCAAAAGTTACATGAACTCACCTAGTGCCTTCTCGAGCCATTGATGCCCTTCTATCAGCTGGTCAATTATAGCAAAATAATGAGCAGATGCTTCGTCAGGCATGACCCATCCCCCTGTTACAATTTCAAACTGTCCATCTTCAATTAACCTGAAAAACATATTTACTAAACTTTTATTCATGCATGTAACTATTTCCAATCAATACATTATCTGGAGTAGCAACATACAATGTTGGCAGCAATGATACTTAAATATTAACAATACTTCACTATGCCATAGACGTTGTGGTGAAAGAAGAATGGCAACTTAAGTTGACAGAATATGTGCAACTTGCAGACTTAACATATAGAACAAGAGAACAAGAAGAACATACGTTTAGAGAAGATTGGAAAACATTTATTGAATATATGGGAAATAACTGTGTACAGCTGAAAATGCTGGCAGCATTAAGATAAACTCAACAGTGTAACTAAGCTTTGATGGATGCAATAATGGAATATTGAATGGTATAGTTTTTGTAAAATATGCAGGGGTTTATGATATGTAAAATGAACCATGGAAAGAGAAGAAGGGAAGTCATTTATATCTTAAGGATGTAAAAATGAGTATTTTAAATTGTAAAACAGAAAATTTAGTAAAAATTATATACAAGGAACAATACTTTCCCCATTCAACAAGACCACTCTTAGCCCTCTGTAAAATGTTAAGAAGCAGATTCTATTAGGAATCATATACACAATTAACCATCTTTCATGTTATGGACTGGCCTGTGAAACAGATTCTTCACCCCTTGTCTAAAACCTGCTTTACTCAAGCTCTGGAAGAGCTGCACTCTCAATTCTATAGAAACCAAAATGCTCTAAAAGCTTCAGCTTTGACCGCTCTGAACAGCACCCTCTTGAAATAAGAATGGCCACAGGCAGTATCTTAAATCACACTTAAGCACTTTTTGACTCCTAACGTATTTCCGTCGTGTAGCTGGCATGTTCAGTGGGATTAAGACAGTGTGACTTAAATCAGTGGGTTCAATAAAGTGCAACTGTTGACAGACTGTGCCTATATTTTAAACATGGGTGGGTTGTCTGTCCTCCCCCCACCCCATATAAAAAGATGTTTCATTCTCAAGTTGCTGTAGTAACCTGAGTTAGCAATAGTTTACCCTCATTTGTTTAGAAAAGGTTGACAGGTAATCTATCTCTAGAAAGCAGCTATTTATATGACACAGGCAATTCACCTGGAATACCCATCCCTCTGCCCATGTCCAGATTTTAAAAGCCATATCCCTTTGACTAAATTAAGAAAAACAAGAGGATTGAGACGGATTTAATTTCCTTTGGGCCCTTTTCCATTTCCTTCTCCCTCAAACCTGTAGGCAGCTGCCAGTTCTGGTTTTTATTCATGAGATGGCTCTTGCAAACTCTTTGCTCAAGCCTCCTCATCGTTCCCTTCAATACTTGTTCCTCAAAGAGGATGACCACTAAAAGTAACTCGCATAGTGCGGGCAGCGGAAGTTATAGACGAAAAGCCAATGGAAAGGTGTATCCAAAAATGGGACCCAGATTTTATCAACTTCTGCCCTAATAACGTATACGCAGACAAATCTGAAACAAATGTTGAACATTCCAATTTGTGTGGCAGTGAAAAATGAAAGTATATATATTTACACTGTTAGTTCTAAAGCGTGAAATCCGCGCACGAAAATTCACTTTGATCTAGCTTCTGTGTCTTAATGCAAGTCAAAAGTCTCTAATTGCCAATTACCAAGTCATTATAAATTAGCAGCAGTATCAAAGAGGACTTTCTTACAATCAATAAATAATTTGTTGATTAGTACCTCCTCTTCTTTTTAAATTGAGACTAACAGGATTATTAACAGAAGGTGAGGATCCCACAAATTATGTTCTAGCTCAGTAGCCCAAGAGGTTCTTTCACTGCTGCACAAAACTTTTGGAGCAGGCAGGCTGAGTGTCCCGGAGACACCCCAGTAATAGAATTTACATTGCCATATATAGTACCCGGCCCTTCTTCCAATCTAAGGCTTCTCTTCCTCAGCACAGATCAAGCACCCTAGCTTGTCCCTGCAAGCATTTCCCTTCTTTACTGGATTTTGGTGGAAGGTCCTGTGCTCTTAGCTCAGTTGGTAGAACATGAGACTCTTAATCTCAGGGTTGTGGGTTTGGGCCCCACGCTGGGAAAAGGATCCCTGCGTTGCAAGGGGTTGGACTAGATGACTCTCATGGTCCCTTCCAACTCTTTAATTCTATGATTCCTTGACACAAAATGGCAAACACAGAGGAGTCAAGTATGCGGCAAGAAAAAGGCACACCACAATTTGCCGTGACAGCTAAATGAATCTCCCTGCCTGTTGCTGTATCACAAATTCAGCATCTGAGTACAGTGGTACCTCGGGTTACATACGCTTCAGGTTACATACGCTTCAGGTTACAGACTCCGCTAACCCAGAAATAGTACCTCGGGTTAAGAACTTTGCTTCAGGATGAGAACAGAAATCGTGCAGCAGCAGCGTGGCGGCAGCGGGAGGCCCCATTAGCTAAAGTGGTGCTTCAGGTTAAGAACAGTTTCAGGTTAAGAATGGACCTCCAGAACGAATTAAATACTTAACCCGAGGTACCACTGTACCACCAAATGTTGGGGAGCCAAACAACAAAGGATAATGATCACCGCCATCACCCTGCTTGTGACGGGCAACTATCTGAAACAGAACGCTGGACTAGACAGGCAGTTCGTACAGAAAAAATGCTGAGCATTTAAAAAATAATACACCTCTTTCTCTCTCTCCAGCATCAACTTTTAAAAGCACTAATTGGAATGGCTCTCACTGACTTGAACTACATTGCTTCTGGATATCAACCTAGAGGTGTTATCAAGCAGGTTGTAATGAACACTCAGAATACCAATATGCTTGTTTTGCATGCAAAATATACTAAGCCATAAAGCTCACTATTGAAAAATTATGCATCATGACAACACTATTTGGGACAATACCATAGCAATGAATACTGCAAGCAAAATCTCTTTCAAAGGGTTTCAAGAAAAATGAATGTTGATCCGTATGCTTTGTGTCAGCAACACAAAGTTAATTTGCATCTCTCCGTGGAGTTAAGAGCACCAGATCTGATGCAGTAATTTCATTTTCACTTGTCATTCTATTTTCACTTCCCAGTCCTGCGATTTAGTCACACTCGTCAATCAGCCTCAGGAACTGTCCCCACTTGACTTGTACGCAGTGCTAATAAAGCTACGCTGCCCTGCCCTTTGGTCCGTGGCATGCACTTGAATACTTATTGGGAAGGCTCCTGCCAACAACTTGCCACATTCGCTACAGCATTGTTAATGCTTCCGGTTTCAGAAACAGAAAATTCAACAGAAGCTACAACAAATGAGTGACAACTACATGAAGGAGAACAGCAAAGAAACGGTAAAACCGTTGGTAGAAAAATGCTAATTCAACAACTTTCTAGAGTAGCTGAATACTGGCATTTCTGTACCTTAAAAGCTAGCCAAATAACCACCTTACTGCAGGTTTGGGGTTTTTTTTTGTTTTTTTGTTTAAGTGGTAACCCATGACACTGTTTTCACTGAAGAATTGCGTGTGCTACCACTTAAGATTTCTGCTCCGACGTGTTCGTCTTATAGCGCTTGGTAATTTAACCGTTAAGGAATTCCACTAAATTGTATATCAGGGTGGGGGAGAAATCTCAGATACAGCAACACGTTAGAACACTACAATTTATGAACCTGTGAATAACGAAAACAACTATAGTTAATATTGATGTAGTTTAATACTAAACTGCCTTTAGGGCCTCTGACAGAAAGGGAGGCATATACATATACATATACATACAATAAATAAATAAAATATACAGACCTTTTCACAGCATCCTTCTTCTGACTATCTATTCCATCCCACCACTTGGAAAAGTAAGAGATTTCAGACCATATAAATTTCCTCCCTTTGTCTTCTTGCAGCTTTAGAACCATGTTATTGAGAATATGCTGCGTCTGATCTCTAAAGTAGTCATCAAATGTCTTCAGCCAGCCTTTTAAACATAAAAAGATCACAAAGTGACTAAATTAAGTAGAATACAGCAGTGTTCCCCAACCCCCGGGCCGCGGACCGGTGCCGGTCCGTGGATCAATCGGCACCGGGCCGCCCGAGGAACTTCAAATCATTTCACTGTGGCGGGCGGCCGAGGCGCAGAGCATTGCGCCCTCTCAAGCCCGCCCATTGTGTGACAATAGCGAATGAAAATTCGCTATTGTTACACTGATGCTCCTCCTGGCGGGTCCTCCCGCTTCCTGATTGGCCGAAAGGCAAACCTCACGCCATTGGCCGAGGAGGAGGCGCCACGGGAGGACTGAGGACTCGAGGTCGGAGACGCGGGGACTGAAGAGAAGCTGCCATGAGGTAAGTGCACGGAGGGGGCGGACTCAGCTCAAAACAAGCGGGCCACGGAAAAATTATCAAACCTTTACCGGTCCGCGGCGATAAAAAGGTTGGGGAGCACTGGAATACAGGATTTACCAGAAACAATAGTCAAGAGTCATTTACCTGACTACGGTTACACTGGAAGCAGTTTGCAGACTGGCAGTGACACATACACAGAAAAATTAAGTTTATCTATATCTTGTTGCTTTTTAGCACTTCAAAAACAAAAGTTATAGTGGCAATACTAGCATCTTGGTGAATGATCTGAGCATCTAATGCTGTAAGACAGGGCTAAACAACATGATGCTAAACCAGACACAGGCACTTTGGCCCACCAAATGTTTTTTGAGACTACAATTCCCATCATCCCTGACCACTGGTCCTGTTAGCTAGGGATGGTGGGTGTTGTAGTCCCAAAACATTTGAAGAGCCAAGTTTGCCTATGCCTGTGCTAAACAATGGTGTAACCATCTACAACTCCCACCACTGGCTATGAAGGCAGAGGCTGACGGGAGCAGCTTCTGGAGGTCACCAAATTAGCTACTCATGCTGTAAGATGGCTGACGTTCATGGGGAACAGCACGTTTTGAAATAATAAAAAGTGAACCAACAAAAGTCAGTTCAGTTGCATGGCCATCCCCTTTGTAAAGAAATACAATGAGCAGCAAACACATTGGGTTAGGAAGTTCTCCCTAACATGTACTCTGAATCCTTTGTCTTACAACTTGAACCCATTTGTTCAGGTCCTACCCTCTGGAGTAACAGAAAATACATTTTGCCTATCACCTATGTGGCAGCCCTTCAAATATTTGAAGATGTCTATCATATTGCCTTTTTAATCATCTCTTCTCCAAGCCAAGTATCCCGAGTCCTTCAGTCTCTCCTCAAAGGATTTGTTCTCCAGGCCCCTCACCATCTTTGTCTCCCTCCTCACTGAACAAATTCCAGTTTGTCAATATCTGTCTTAAACTGCCATGGCCAGAACTCACCACAGTACTCCAGGTAATATCTGACCAAAGCAGAATAGAGCAGTACGATTACTTCTTGCGAACTGGCCTTATATTTCTATTGATGCAGCCTAGAACTGCATTAGCCTTTTGCAATCTCGCATCAAGCTGCAGACCTATTTAGCCTATGTGCCATTAATACTTCTACCTTCTTTTCATATATACTGCTGCCAAACCAAGCATCACCTATCCTGTATTTCTGCATCTTCTGTTCCAAGGTAAATGCAGAACTTTACAGTTATCCATTGGAATATGTTATTAGCTTTAGCCCTTTTCTGTTTTATGTAAATAATAATAATAATAATAATAATGGCATGTTTCCCATGCAAGCTTTGGGCTCGCATCATTTCGCAATCCGTCTGTTCCTTAAATAAGCTTACTGGTCTTATCCAAAGAATCAAATGGCTCTGGATTTTAGAGTGTTAAGACTCTTACTTGCCAGATATGCCTCGTGGTACTGCCCTAACAAGGGATAAAACCTGCCCTACACAGAAAGAATGTCAAGGACCACATTTCAGCCACATTCGAGGCCCAGCAGATAGAGATGGCAACTGCCATGCAAAAATAAATCTCCAAATCCTTTTAGAATTTTGTATTACCTGGATCATTATGCGAATGAGGCACAACAAAAACTTGAAGAGGTTCACTGTCCCACTCGTGTTCATCATAGGTGATATCAAATCCTTGTTTCCAAACTCCACCATCTGGATTATCAAAGGGAAGAATGTCATAGACATCTAGCATCTAAAATGGATGAAGAAAAAAGGTTACATGAGAACACATTCAGTGGTTGAAGTACACAGTTCTGCACTTACAAAGGCAAGGCTGTAGTCAGTTGCAAATTATTATTTTTAAAAAAAAAATAGTAAGGGGAAAAAACTCACACTGAAAATTTGTCTATGTTCTTTATTCAAATGAGAATTTACATGAGCAAAGTATCTGATTAAGTTATTTAAATGAAACTTTGCACCTACTGAATGTGAACAGTAATCACCACAACCCCACTTTCTGCATGCCTAGAGTGTTAACTCCTTTCTGAACAAGAACAAGGCATCAAATATGACTACAGTCGTACCTTGGCTCCAGAACGCCCTGGAACTCAGACATTTTGGCTCCTGAACGCCAGAAACCCAAAAATGAGTGTTCCGGTTTGCAAATGTTCTTTTGGAACCTGAATGTCCAACGGGGCTTCCGCAGCTTCTGATTGGCTGCAGGAGCTTCCTGCAGCCAGTCGGAAGCTGTGGTTTGGTTTCCAAACATTTTGGAACTTCCAAGGTACAAATGTATGAGAAAAACCAATGAAACAACAGACACCAGCAGTTCCCAATTACGCTCAAAAAAATCTTTTATATGTCTAATATTTAATGAAGACTTCTTGAAAACACTTTCAAGCTGCAGCATGGAAGTCCCTCCCCCCATCTCTAATAAGGAGTATAAATATTTTCTGTCTTAAAGACATGTTTAGTTGCTGTCGTTGAGCTCCCTTTGTCCCATGCAAGAAAGTATTCTAGCAATAGTAACCCGCTGTCTTTATGCTGGGATTTGTTTTTTAAGTGTGCCGTCACATGAGTCTTAATAACCCACTATAATTACAAGCACAAGGTTGATGGAATCAGCATTAAATCAGGAATTAACACAGTGAGCTGATATGGGTGCTTTTTCTTGATCTGTTCAAAGTACAAGACATAAACAGGGAAGCCTGAGCATGACTACTCTCCATGACACATTTGATTCTGCAATTACGGCTTACCTTTCCCACAAAACCTGCTCAAAGGTAACCAAGCAACTATTACACCTTACAGTAAGTGAACAAAGGGACACGATGCATTCTACACTCTTTTTAATAAAGATGCTGCAACATGGGCATCAATCTTCAGTCCTACAAACTAAAATCCTATCTAAACCTTGCAAAGCACGCAGTTGCGTGTGTCAGTATTCTGTTGCAGAATAAAATCTTTCGGATCAAAATCAGGGTTTGCATAACTGATATTAACTGCAACTGCTGAGATGCTGACCAGGTATCAATTCCATTCAATGCAACTAGAATTATCTTCTCCTTTGGGGGATTTGTATGACGATGATCTTACCACAGTGGCTTTCATCTACACAGTAATGCAGTAATATTTTTGTATTTATGACACAGAAGCCTCCGTCAACAATCACCTAAACTTTCTTAATGTTGGAAGGGGTTAGAAAAGTCACTTGGCTGTCACTGACTGGAGACAGAAAGGGTCTAAACAAGGAAACCTAATAAGATGCTGTGGCCCAGGAAAAGAAGCAGCAGATACCTGGGCAGTTAATGGACCACAGTAAAAAGGAGGGAAGGAGTGTTGAATATGATGGATGGGAAAGAAAACTGTCCAGAAAAGAAAGAAAAAAGAGGTCAGAGAAAGCAAAGAAGCTGAGAAAGAATAGCAGGCGCATTCACATGGCCAAGAGCTAAAATGCCAACAAAAGCTGACATTTACATAATGACCTGGGGAAAACAGTCAAATCTCTGGCTGTTGGACTTAAGCAGTGCTTTATTTGCAAAAGCCTTATAACACAAAACAAGGCTGGCAACCTGGCTCAATCTTTTGAGCTTGCAGACCTCCCATTATTCAGTATCTTCATATCTTGAAACATTTTAATATCCATGCTATAGCTTTTCAGATTTAAGTTTAGTTTTTTAATGTAATTTGCATCATAAAGATGTATCTTTTAACATGCCTATAGAAAAATACTCTATGTGGGCACAATCATCCCAAAGTACAACGAGAATGCTGCAACTATACAATGTCACACCATGCATGACCTCTCATTTCTTAGATGAGCCAAGAGTGCCAACCAGTTATCCACTCAGATTCCACCTGGAAAGAATGAGGCAATTCCTTAAAACCAAAGAACTGAACAAAAAACATCCCTCAAGCTGCAACACAGCCACCTTTTCTTGTAAGTCCCACTGACTTAAGTATAACTTACAGTCAACTGTTGTTTGGCTAACCTGCAAGTCAACTAAGTTGTTTGGGAAACTCGCTTAAGGGCCCATTTTAAAAAGCTTAGTAGTGGTTAGGAATGGAGGAGGAAGTAGTCTAGTCTGTTTTCCTGACTTTGGCTGAGGTTTCCAGTTGCATTACAACATGGGTAGGCAAACTAAGGCCTGGGGGCCGGATCTGGCCCAATCGCCTTCTAAATCCGGCCCGCAGACGGTCTGGGAATCAGCGTGTTTTTACATGAGTAGAATGTGTCCTTTTATTTAAAATGCATCTCTGGGTTATTTTTGGGGCATAGGAATTCATTCATTATTTTTTTTCTTCAAAATACAGTCCGGCCCACCACAAGGTCTGAGGGACCGCCCCCCTGCTGAAAAAGTTTGCTGACCCCTGCATTACACACTTCTTTTTGGTTTGCAAAAGATCTGCACAAAATGCATATTTTATGGACGGGTGTATTTTATGTAAAAAGTATATACAAGAATTCTAGTTTAAATGTGGACTTTCTGTGCATTCTTAAAGAAGGGGGGGAAAACCCTGCACAAACTGGATTAACCTATGACTGAGCACCCAGTGAGACTGCAAGGAAAGGAATTAAATACTCAGTTCATCCATAGCAATAAATTCACTATATTCTTACCTGTACATCTGAAGCTTGGCTTCCACTTTTTGATGCAAACTGACAATCCTCAGGGTCAACTGAGAGGTACATAGTGGCAAGAGGTGACAGCTCAGAGAAGTTTCCTTGACTGAAGTTTATAGCCTCTGGAGTACGTTGTCCATCTTTGACAGATTCACTCAAATTGATCACAGAATCTCTTATGTTTGAAATTATTTCATTATTTTCTGCCAATAAGCGCTCCAGGTGGTCTATTTTCTCTTGCAGTATTGAAAGCTGACCCTGTGGAGAGGCACAACATTAGTCCTTCAGATGTGCAAGCTACTGTATTTCACATCCCACTTGTACTGAATGAAACTCACAACTCTACTAAACAGGCCTTCAGAGTCCAGAGGAAAAGAAATGGAAAAGAAGAGCCCCTGATGACCAAAGAAAACTTTCTCAGAAAAAGATTAAAATAATGAAGACTGTTTTCTTCAATAATTAAAAGTCTTAATATAAAAAAAAACAGTAAGAAAGCACTGACCAAATCCGTTACAAATCAAGTGAAGAGACAGACGTTTTCAAATTTTATCTTTTCAATTCTTTTCAGCCATGTTTTCAACTAAAAGCACATCTGAGAACTTGTCTTCCTATTAAGGAAAGACCTGACTGAAAGGTTTTGTAGCCTGCTGCAAAAGTTAATAAAAGATGGTCTAATATTTTCATTAATATGCAGACATTTTCTTTACGACATATAATTTTAATAACCCGTTTTCAAGAGGAACTGGAAAAAGTTTCAGGAGAGCAAAAGAGCAAGTTCAACCAGCTGAGGCTTGTCCACACTATCAATGTTCTGGGAAGCAGGTGTTATTTCCTCCCTGGTTTATTGGGAGTTTTTCCACACATCTTCCCTTGTGCTATTGCTTGTGTCATGTATGCTGCCTTCCCCAGGCACAAAAAGGCACTAATCTGTGCAGAGAAGTGTAACTTCTCCAGTGCATTCCTTGCTAATGGCAACTGTTGTTCAATGTCCAACAGCTGTTGTCAAGCGGATTGTCACCAACATATTGGTTGCAAACTGGTCTAGACTAGGATCATTTAACCAACTACCAAATGCACTTGAGGAAAAATGCGGAGCCATGAAAGGTGTCAGCTACCTATTTTATGTAAATGTAAAACGATCGTTTATATACCAGTTTTAACACTGCTACAACAATCTAAAACAGCAACTTTTAATCTACTGATGACCGAAAGTTTAAAGACAGTGTCAACAAAAGAAGAGTGGCAGATGAAACTGATGGACTATGCTGAGTTGGCGAAATTAACTGGGAAAATTCGGAACCAGCAAGACCAGACTTTCCTGAAAGATTGGAAGAAATTTATGATATATTTGAAAGACAATTGTAATCAACTGACATCGCTTGTAGGGTTGCAAGAAGTTTTGTAAGGAGAACTACATGAATTATTGAGAAAAAGAACTAAGGGGGAGTTTATTTAGGATTTGGATTTTATAGCAATAACTATTAAAATAAAATGCAGAATCAGAAAGAAAGCTGGAAAACCATTAGTCAAGGTTGATGGAAGTCCTAGGCTGTGGTAGCCAAAGGTTTATTATAGTGTATAAGATGGGATGTTATGTTATGTTTGGAAAACATGTGTAAAAAACAATAAAAATTATTTTTTTAAAAAGAAAGTTTAAAGACAGTGATCTGCCCCAAGTCCACAACAGAAAATGCACAGGAACACACGTTGAACCAGCTAAAACTCAAATTCTATCTACTGAAGGACAATACATCCTGTTTTACACCAGGTACAGTAACGCTAATCCATTCAACAGCATGTAAATTCTCCTTCGGGGCATTTCTTTTTCTTATTAGCATTTCTGCAGGAATCCTGGGGGTTGTTGTCTTTCCCCCAGTCTAGATCCTTTGCAGCGAGCTCCTTTATTTTCTGTCTTAATACACAGTTGCATTTTTTAAGCTTCTGTCTGAATGAGCTGCTTTCTAAAAGGAAGGCTCATTAAGACCTTTCCATTCAAAATGTTACAGTTTTTATCAGGTTTACAAGCCACACTAGTTGCTTAGTTGCTGATTAGATCATTCCTTTGATGTGACAGATTTTTTTTGGGGGGGGGATACAAAGGTTCGCAGTATTCTTTCTGGCATCTGCAAAGCTGAACATCTGAAAGCAATTTATAAATATTATGGCAGCACTGAGAAAGTTTTTTTTAAAAAAGAGCTAAAGCACTGAAGTGTTACTTCATGCCCCCTGGTGGTACATTAACCAAATGTCTAAGGCCAAAATTATCTGAAACATTCTAATCTTAGCAGTCCTTGAGAATTATACAACAACAAAATCACTTCCAGTTAAGACAATGAGCGAGCGGTGTGCATTTCAAATTATTACCATAATTTTGGAACACCTGAACTAATGATTCCAGGGAACACAGATATGATATTTGGCTACAGAAGTAATGTTTTGCAACCACATGCAAGTTGGTTCCTGCTTTGCTTCAAGCAGGAGCATCAGGTATAAAATTTACTTAGTATTTTTTGAAACCTCACAACCTCAATTAATTCACAGTTGCATCTCGAACAATACAAAACTTGAATTCTTTGTATTTGCAATTATGGATTCTCACAGGGCTGAAGGCTTTCATTCTTTAGTAACATTCTGGAATATAAAAAATACTTTAAGAATATAACAGCTTTAAAGGAAAAATGAAAGACTTTTACAGCACCTAATGATAATACACTTATTTTGGCGAATGTAACCTTTCATGGACTACAGTCCACTTCCTTGAAATCTTATGCTATAATAAAAAGCTTTGGCTTTGTGATGCAAAACTGTTGTTTTTGCTGCAACAGATAAAAGTAGTTTTAGAAGAGGAATTGCTTCATTCATAATTTTACTTTACTCATGGGCTTCCTGCCCCCTCCCAGCTGTGGGGCGCACTGAAGCAATGCAGAGTTCTGGGTATCCAAAACTCAGTAATCAGAGTCAATTTAGCTGATAAAAGTGATTTGCACAATACTACCAAGCGAGCTTAATAGCTGAGCAGACAATTCAATGTTAAAAATTCCCCGGGCGCTAAGAGTATTTTGCGACTTGCACAAGTCCAGCTGCGAACACATGGAGATCACTGGATGCCAAGTTGGCGACTGACATCTCCATCTGGCTGGCCCCACCAGCTTTCTTAAGAAGGTAAGCAGAAGAGCTTATTTATTGCATTTATATCCCATCTTTTTCTCCAAGGAGTACTCCCCTCCTCAGTTAATCCCTACAGCAACTGGCCCAAAGTAACCCGTGAGCTTCATGACTGAGTAGGGATTTGAACTCTGATCTCCCAGTCCAACACTAACCACTACACTATACTGGGTTCCTAGAGTACTTCTGCTTTGGGGCAGCTATATAAATTAAGTAGGTAAATAAATCTGGAGAAAGCAAAATGTCACTTAGGGAAGGGTTTGAAATATTTTTATTGAAGCTTATATTTGTTTTATACCGAATTACTTTATTTAACGTGTTGTAAACAGCTATATTTTTTCTTTAAAATATAGAAAGGTATAGAAATGAAATGAATCATCATCATCATAAATTTCATTGTTTTTTTTAAAAAAGGTGTCTCAATCAGGCATCCCCAAACTTCGGCCCTCCAGATGTTTTGGACTACAATTCCCATCATCCCTGACCACTACTCCTGTTAGCTAGGGATCATGGGAGTTGTAGGCCGAAACATCTAGAGGGCCGGAGGTTGGGGGTGCCTGGTCTAGACATTCCGTTGTGGCGGCTGTAACCTGGGTTTTAGGTGCCGTTTGGCAATTAGCTCATATATCTGAGTGTCTAACACTGGCAGACATATAAATTCAGATCTCCCAAGTCTTCCCCTCTAGGGAAGGGGAAGTTTGCATGGGGAATGACAGATCAGACAAAAGGAGGAATGAGACCCCACAACATGCTCCTAAGCTCCAACTAAGGTTAGGAGATGGTTACACTGCCCTTTGGGAGATTTTGCCTCGTTGTGCAAAAGATTCAATAGAGTTGGACTAGATGATCCTCGCGGTCCCATCTAACTCTACAATTCTATGATTATAGGAACACTACAACAGATTATGTTGTTACTGCATTGTTATTAATATTTACAGCCTGAACTTCACCAGGAAGTCACAAGATGGGTCAAAACAATCTAAAAATCAACATTAAAAGCTGTTTGATCAAAGGACAGCCATAGGAATAGGGTAGGTCCTGAAAACACATTATCTCAAGTATCAAAGGTCAGGGCAAAGAGGTGCGTCTTTATCATACGATAAAAGCTGCATAATGAAGATGCCAAACACATCTGCCACACATAATACCTTTTTTCGCCCAACATCTGAGGGAGGTGGAACTACCAAGAGGGCTCCCACTGCTGGTCTTAATACTCAAGAGGGTCTATAGAGAAGGAGGTGGTTTTTCAGATATTTGGCGTCCAAGTCATTTAGGGCAGTGTTCCCCAACCTTGGGCCTCCAGCTGTTTTTGGACTACAATTCCCATCATCCTTGACCACTGGTCTTGCTAGCGAGGGATGATGGGAGTTGTAGTCCAAAGACAGCTGGAGGCCCAAGGTTGGGGAACACTGATTTAGGGTTTCAAACATTAATGTGAGCACCTTGAATTGGGCCCAGACTGGTAATCAATGCAGCTGTTTTAAAACAGGCATTATATGCATTCTGAAGGGAACCCCAGCCAGTAATTAGCAGTTGAATTTTGGACTACTTGGAACAGGCTTCCTCAACCTTGTCCCTCCAGATGTTTTTGGCCTACAACTCCCATGAACCCTAGCTAGCAGGATCAGTGGTCAGGAATGATGGGAAATGTATTGGCCTACAACTCCCATGATCCCTAGCTAGCAGGATCAGTGGTCAGGAATGATGGGAATTGTAGTCTCAAAACATCTGGAGGGCAGAGGTTGAGGAAGCCTGACTTGGAAGTTTCCATTCAGACAGTAATGACAACCCTGTTTATATTTTTGAAACTTTAGCTTCACTTAGATGCTGCTTTAGAAAACCAGAGAGTCACTTTGTTTAAATGAAGAAGTTTAAATTTAAGAAAAACCACACTTAACTAATTATTTCATGGCATTCATACCAAGTGTCACATCGTTCAATAAATCTAAAAAGGGCACAAAACTTTCCAGGGAGGATCATATCCAAACAGAGCTAGGCATTTTGTGCCATGTACACTTTAAGGCCAAAATGCCTTGAGGTTATCTTTTGAGCTGTTAGCGAGTGCTGTGTTATAGAAACATTGATCTGTTTTCCCACTAACAGATCTAGCAAGATTCAGCTTGCAGCCCGTAAATGAATCAGTAAACTCTTGTTTTGCTGCTGAAAGTCAGAGCTGACTCCTTTTGCAAACACAAGTCGTACTTTTCATTGTTCTTCTAACAACTTTCAGCTGCATGCTTGGATGGATTAATTTAAAAATGTACAGGGAAGGAGTCTTACCCTTTGGAATAACTTTGCTCAACTAGGAAACCATTGAACATCCAGATAGTCATATTCTTTGATATTTCAACTATATAAAGAGAGAGAGAGAGAGACACACACAGAGAGATCTGCTCTGCATGTGACAGAACAAGTCTGTGCATTACCACCCTGGGTCAATTGTGTCTGTTCTGTAAAGTTTGCAAAACGCTTGCACATTTGAGAACAGGTAGAAACACTGATAACACAGGGAGGAAAGTTTAAAAGGGCTTTTTTGCTTCTTCCTGCTTATGTGCAGATGAAGCAAACCTTGACCCCTGGATTACTGTTACGTCCAACTTTGGAAGGCTCAAAACAAATGTTCGACATAGATACAGAGAGAATAAAAAACAATGCTATGCTGCAGGCTGATTTTGAGGTACTTAGCTTTGAGGAACTAGGTGCTGCTGTTTTATTTTAAGAACCTGAGCTACAATAGAGCTCTGCCTCACTGAACACCAGAACAATTTTGTCGGTTTTGTTTGTTTCGTTGACAGCGACACTACAGATGTAACACAGAGCCAGTGCTAGCAGGGAGGGAGCAAGACAGACCACAAATATGTGTTCAAATTAAACCCACTAACTATGGTTTACTGTGAACGTGCAAACTAGGCCCCTATGCTAAATTCTCTTCAGACGTTACAGGAAAAGTGCATTTGATCTGCCTTGCCTCATGTGGATTGTGTGTTCAAGTGTCCTTCAATCATGCCAAAATGTTGATGTTTACCCATCTGTACTCTGTAATGTGTGGAGCTGCCTTGCCATCTCCACAGATTCAGTTTGCTGAGGAGCACTTCACTGAACTCTACCCCCAAAGCCAAAGTACATATTGATTTTTAAACTGAAGTGACTTTAAGTCAAGTTTCTCACTTTAAGAAATCAAGTATTGTGTAATGACTGGTGCCTGATCTTGCCTATCCCCCCCCCCCCCCCCGCAATATGCCCTCACCCTCTCCCCTTCTGAATTGTGCACAGTATTATGTTGTAAACCTGTAGCAGGTCTTCTGCTGTTTTGGGTTTTCATTTCATTTTGTCCACGCTTAAAAACTTCAGGACCTTCAGAATTAGTTTCTTAAACATTAGTTTCCTTTCTTTAGGGGAAAGGGCCACAGCAAAGCACCACTAGAGTCTTCCATGGGTGTACCAGGAAGTCTCCTATGTCTATGACATGCGTGCCGTCTGACTCATGACCCTCAGTCTCTGGATATTTGTGTATTGTGGGCACAAGATCACACACAATTGGCTGTGAATGGAAAGGATGTGTATAAATCCCTTTGGGTTGGGAAGGCTTTAATCCCTAGTCTGAAAGAACTGACAAACTGATGCAGCAAGAGACAAACTCATTCCAGTCAGAAAACTCCACAACTACCAGGACTGTGTTCCTTTCAGCACTTGCATATTAACAGCCCAATCCTATGAAGAATTAGGTTTACTTAAATCCACTGGTCTCACTGAATATTTTAAAATATGCCTGACTCTGCATACTAACAGGCCTTAAATCCAGGGCTTTTTTTTTCCTTCCGGAACTCTCTGGAACTCAGTTCCAGCATCTCTCAGGTGGGCACCATGGCCATTCTAAGAGAATGAGAGAGGAGATCATGCTGAGTTCCAGCACCTCTTTTTTCTAGAAAAACAGCACTGTGTAAATCCTATTATTTAGATTTCAACCAACACGTATTGGAGAACCACATGTCAACACACTGAATTTAACTTCCAATTAAAATGTCCAGAATCTACATAGAATAGAACCAAAGCTATACTTGTTATCTAGTCTATTTCGGTCTGGACAGTGCCTGGGTGGGAGACCACCTGGGAACCCAAAGTACACCACCTTGTACAGATGTTGAGTTTCATGACGGAAGCAAGGCTAGATATAAATGCACTAAACAATGTCCTTTTGTTTGACACTATGCTTGCAAATGGTAAAAAGGAACTACTTCACATGCCTTATCACACATTTCCTCCCTTCACAAAAAACTTTGGGATACTGAAGAAACAAGTGCTCAAGGCAATTAAGTTATCTGTAGTGTTAGGAATATATGACGCCATCTGAGTTAAATATGATCGCTTTGAGTCTGCATCTGCTGAGGCCAGCCTGCCTATTTTTCAAAGGGCGAACTGTGTGTCTGTTTCTTAAGCTGACACTCTAGACAGTATCAGAACACCCCAGATGCCACACTGTCTGTGAAGACAAGCTGGAACTTGCCCTGGTCTGCCATTCAAGATCAGATCGTGCCCTGGGGCTAGTTCACAGCCAAGTATACAACCAGGAATATTGTAGGAGGCTTAATGGTGAACTAATGAATACTACACTGTACCTTTCTGCCAAGTAGAAAGGTCCTGAATTTCAATAAGAATTACTGCCTTTTCCTCTGGATCTGTAACCAGGCAAGCATAAACATCTGTCTAACACATTTATCGAGAGGCTCGTTTTAAACTAGAAATTGCATTTTACCTTTATTTCCCCAAGTGCATTTTTAATGTTTTGTTTTAAACAATAAAGTGATCTTCTTGGTTAAGGAAACTTGATCTGAACAGCTTTCTAAGCTAGGCTCTTGTCACCTCACATGAGTGCTTTATCTGTTCAGCAAAGACTGGTCATTATCCCTTTAGGGAGGGAAGATGGCTGTTGAGAGGGGCCAAAGGTGGAATACTTGCAACTCAGTACCCTAACTGGATCTTTTAAATGAAGTAGTAAGAATCCATACTGCTCCCTCAGTAAGTGGCAGCAACTATTGATTTGAGTGTGTTTTGTGGTGAGATAATCACACCACAAAAGTTACCAGGAGTAACTAGAAAACCCTCTATTTTCAAGCCGCTGCTGAGCTAAGGGCTCTCTCAAACACAAAACCAGGAATGTCACAACTCTTTCCAACAGCTTCCAAAGGCCTTCTTCCTATGCAACCTAGCGTGCTGGCGTACTGTTGCACAGGAAAACTTTCTAAGCAGCTTTTTTAAAAAAAAAATAATCCAAGCACTAAACACTTCAGAAACCTATTATTTCCATAATATCTGTGCTCCATAAAGGCAAGGATACCACTTTCTAGAATGTGCATATTAAAGCACGGGTTACGCAAGAGATGAGAGATTTACTAGCAATCTTTGGTAACTATACTTTACTTAATAGCATAGGAATTTGGAAATTTTAGAACCACAGAGCTGGAAAAGAGCAAGATTTCCCCCACCTCAGCCCTGTACTCAATGTTGAAATACACTTACTTTGTTACACAACCCACGTTAAGTTTTACAGTTCTGAGCATTAGGCCATGATCTGCAGGAAAAGCTGGTTTAAATAAAATAAGCTCTTCCCTACTGATATAAGATACTAATTTCAATTCTTTTCCAGCAGTACATTCTAACCTGTTAAGCAGTTGAAAAGCCTCATTTATCCAATTCAAATGCACACCTCTTTGTGCCAAAGTTACCTGTCTCAGAAGCAAGCACACCCTCTTATATATCCCGGGGAAATTATTCAGCCTGACATAACTCTTTTGGTTGATTTGTACTTGTCATATAAAATCAGGAAAAGTACAAATCATAAAACAAGGTGTGTTTATGTGTAGAAAATAAGCCCTATGTTTTCACACTGTATTAACTTTCTAGCAACAAGCAAGTAACTTGATAATGTAATGTAACTACAATGGATTTCAAACATGGAAACCTAGCTCAAAGCTAACTTGGCAGCCTTAGTCCAGCCTCGCACACAGGGCCTGAAGTATGCCAAATAATTTTTGTTTAGAAAAAAAAACAGGGCAACTCCCATGTATTTTGCCTTGAGTTATTTGGGGACTAAGGGGGAATATAGAGGATGAGAAAAATAAGACTTTGCAAATAAAAAACAGTTGTGCCTTGGGACCAGTAGAGCACCCATTTAACAGGCACACAGGAAAAACTTGCTTTTTCCAGTCTCCAAATGAGTTTCCCTCCCACATTCACGCAGCTCTCCTATCAAGCAGTTAACAGCCACCATCCCCTTTGTTTCCCAGGTCTTTTTTAGGGCAGCAGAGTATTGTAGTCCTTTTCTGATAGCCTCGCCACCTGTCTGAAGCCTTGCACCCTACTCCCTGGCTATGACTCCTCTGGAGTAAGTATAGGACCGATAGTAGCAGGCACTTTTTATTACTAAAGTACGTACTCCAAGGCTGTGCCGAGGGTGACATTCAAATCTGGCTCCGGGACTGGCCTGCGGCTCGAATTAAGCCTACCCAACATAGAAAGTAGGGCACTAAGAAGATTCGAAGTCGGTCAGGATGCGACTTTTCCCAAGGGGAAGGCTACAATCCCACGTGCAGTTTCCACCCGGGAATTCGTCCCATCGAAACAGACTGATAAGTGGGCGCAGAAAGGGGGCAGATAGGAGTCTCCTAGTGCCCCCCACTCTCCATCGAACAAGGGGGAAGTATGAGCAACTTCCCCTTTCCTTTCCGGAGACACCCTAACCTCCAACCCCACTTGACTCAGATCCTATCTACGGGCAAGGGCACTGATCCGGAATCGGTTTATGGTCGCTAAAACGAGCTTTCTGCATTTCCTTCTCTCCTGGTAACTGCTCACAGTTGCGAGACAAGCCTGTATGATACACAAATACACACACAAACACGCGCACCCGCGATCCATCTGCCCCTTAACCCCGCACCAACTCACCTGGGGGAAGGAGCCTTCGCGGCGGTGGTTCTTGGGGTGGTCCAGGTGGCCCCGATCCAGCATCAAGTAGAGCGAGAAGATCACCACGCAGAAGATCGCGCTGCCAAACACCGTGAACTGCCGGCTCAGCTTCATCGCCGCGCCGAGCAAAGGCGGAGAAGCACAAAAAAGAGCCCCGAGCGCAGCTACCCAAATGCGCCCTGCGCCCTACCCCGCCCAGTAGCGACGGCGGCTCCGGCTCCGGCTCCAACTAAACTTCTGAGCGCGATCTCCAACAATCCCGGCCCCGCCGCCGGGCCGGAGAGCTCGGCAGGAAGGACAAAAGTTCCCACCGGGGCCGGGCGGACGCCAGCCAGCGGGGCCGGGGCGAAGCCAAGCCTCCAGCCGCTTCTCCGAGTCCCTCGGGGCAAGTTCTCCCCTCCCGTCGGGGCCCCTCTACAAATCCACCAAGATATGCCCGGGAGTTTCGGGGAAAGGCGAGAGGGCTCCCCCGCTCGAGCTCCTCCGGCGCGAAGGGGAGCGAGGCAGCCGCGCGGGGCCGGCGAAGGGCAGCCAGCCGCCCGGGCGCCTCGACGCAGCCGGAGCTCCGGATGCGCTGCTTCCTGATCGCCTCCGCCAGAAGCGGGACTTGGAACCGGCGGCGGCGAGCGAGGAGGGCTCGGCGCTCCCACGCTCGGCGCGGCTGATAAGGAAGCGGGGAGGAGCCGCGGCCGCCTGGCCCGCCAGTCCAGCAGCAACAGCGCCTGCTGCCGCCGCCGGAGAGCGACGCGCTCCGCCCCCAGACACGCACCGGGGAGGAGAGGCGAGGCGAGGCGGAGCCTGGCCCACCACCAGCCACACAGCGCCACGACCACGCTGGGCGGCGAGGCAGGCGGGCGGGCGGGCGGGCAGAGAGGCGTTCGGCGATCGCGCCTCGTTCTGCCGCCGTTATTACGTTTTCGAGGCGGCTCGCGGCTGTTCTGCGCGCCCCGGACTCTTCCCGCCCGCCGCGGTGGGCTTCGCTTGCACTGTAGCGATCGCGCTTCCCGCAGAAAGGCGGCACTTGGGGGATCTCGGCGCAGAGATCAGTTCCCCTTCCCCCCCCAAAAAAGACGCTTGCACAAACCCAGAGCCCTAGGAAGGGATTCCCACCACCTCAAGCCGAGGCTGCTCGAAGAGGGCTTGCATAGGATCGCCGCTGTGCGTCAGTGCAGCATAGGATCGCAGCTGCGCGTTAATGGGAGGAAGCGAGCTTGGCGTGCCCGACCGGCGGGAGAATGCGCCTTTTGTGTTTTGCGGCGCGGGGAGCGGAGCAGCTGCTGCTGCGCCCGCTTCCCTGGAGCCTTCGGAGGCTTCCAGCTGTTGCTGCCTTCGAGACGGCGGGCAGGTGCGAGGCGAGACACAGGCACTTGCCTGACGCTCCTCTTCCGCGAAAGGGGAGCGAGGGCCCCCGATGCCAGCCTCCCTCCCCGGCACGAGTTAGAAAGTTGTCCCGCTCTTGCCGGGGGCGGAGCGGCAGGCGCGGCTCGCTCCCGCGTACGTCGGGGGGTAATTGCAGGGCTCGGCAATGGAGGCCGGAAGAGCGCGCGCCTGCTTAGCTCGCAGCTCCTTGGCATCGCGTGCTTGCTCGGAAGTCTTCAGTCACGCTAAGAAGCGAGGGGAGATGGGATCGGAAATAGCTGAAAAACCGCGTCCTTCCCGCGTGGGGCTGGAGATCGCAGGGGGAGCCTCTCGGGAATTCCCCCACACTTGGGAGTTGGAGTGTCCCTCCCCCCCAAATTGACGTTTTATTATGTTTTCATATGTGTTGCAAGCCGCCCAGAATGGCTGGGCCAACCCAGTCAGATGACTGGGGTATTAATAATAAACATAATAATACATAATAATATAATTCCCCTGTTTAGGGAAGCTTTCAGTGTTTGATGTTTTATTGTGCTTTAATATTCTGTTGGGAGCTGCCCAGAGTGGCTGGGGAAACCCAGCCAGATGGGTGGGGTATAAATAATAAATTATTACTATAATTATTATGTGGTCCGCCAGAGGGCGGTTTGTGTGTCAGCCCCGAAACTTGTAGACTTTCCTCCCCATTGTATGGCTTTCCTTGTCTGCTCTATGACAACTGGAATATATATTTTAGGACCTACCCCTCTTCTTTTTTATGTTAATTATTAAAACCATATTTAATATTCTGTTGTAAATTGTTTAAACTTATTTTAATATTGTAGTATTATGTTATAGAAAGCCTTGGGACCTTATGGCGAAAGTATAAATAACTATGGCTGCAATCCTAACCTTTATGACCAAGTCTCATTGAATGATATAGGACTTACTTCTGGGTTTGTGCCTTTAATCCTTTGACTACACATAAGCAAATGCCGTTTAATTCAAGGAGACTCATGCCTGGGTGAATGTGTGTACGATTTCAGCCTTGTGGTATATTGAAGAAATGGCCTAGTCTTCTGTAGTAACTTCTGTATGGTATCTTGCATACGTACCATTCCAAGCTTCTGGAGTTCAGTGGGAGAGTTTACAGTATTTCCCCAAAATTGTGCAAAAAGATAGAATAGGATGTCATTCACACTTTCCTCAGAGGAATCCCATTGACAGCCTGGGTATTTAGGTTCATGTTTCCCCTAGACTAATGTTACTTAAAGCTGCAGTCCTTTACAGTGGTCCCTCAGGTTACAGACTCTGCTAACCCAGAAATAGTGCTTCAGGTTAAGAACTTTGCTTCAGGATGAGAACAGAAATCGTGCTCCGGCGGCAGCAGGAGGCCTCATTAGCTAAAATGGTGCTTCAGGTTAAGAACAGTTTCAGGTTAAGAACGGACCTCCGGAACGAATTAAGTACTTAACCTGAGGTACCACTGTACATACATACTTGGATAGGAGTAAGTCTCGCTGAGCTCAGTTGGACTAACTTGCAAGCAGGCACATATAATATTGGCAATGTAGAATTCATATATTGTGGGAATCCCTCCTATAACTCTTGTTGTAGATGGGAGGCGGCAAAATATTTGTGTGCTCATGTCTAAGGCTGTCTTTGAATAATTCAGTCAAATTCATGAGGCTTGTGAGTAGGACTGTACTACAGCTATTTTGTTAAATTGTACTTGTTTCATCTTATGTGCCCTTTTCAGCATAGGGGTGGTGGCATTTGCTAGAAAGTTTGCTTTTAGCTGCCCAGAAAGTTCACTGGTCAGAATGGAGGAGAAATAAATTTAGAGCAGCCTGCTGCCACCATCTTCAGCCATCATGCATTTTCATCTGTTCAGCATGATGCTTCCACTTCATTGACTGTTACTTATATAGAGAACAGTTACAAGTCACTGAGTAAATTTCAGCATTGGTCAGTCTGTTCATACCTGGATAAATTATACTGCATACCAGTCCCCTTTATACTATTAGTAATAACTTACATAAAACTGCAAACCAAGGTATCAAAGTTGTTTATATAAAACTGCTGTTACCAATAGTTGTTTTTTAAACCGCCTGTTTGCAACATCACAAAATTTTATTCTAAAAAAGAAAGCTCTGCATTACTTCGTGAAATATGAGCAAATATTTTTAATTTCCCCCCACAACCGATTCACATCCTTACCAAAGGGGTAAAAAGTAATCATAGTACAGTGGTACCTTGGGTTACATACGCTTCAGGTTACAGACTCCCCTAACCCAGAAATAGTACCTCGGGTTAAGAACTTTGCTTCAGGATGAGAACAGAAATTGTGCTCCGGCGGCACGGCAGCAGCAGGAGGCCCCATTAGCTAAAGTGGTGCTTCAGGTTAAGAACAGACCTCCGGAATGAATTAAGTCCGTAACCAGAGGTACAACTGTACAAATTTTATTGCTCATGGAAGAGTAGGTGCTAATCCCCTTATTGCTCAATGTGAGGACATCTTTGCAAACTGCACATTTATAATTCACCATAGCTCAAAATATGTGAGTGGAAGCCATTCATAACCACAATGTGAAGAGGTTACTACTTTGGTTCAAGACTCAAAAAGACTCCTGCTTAAATATGCATCTTTTTAAAAAAAAAAATAGGCCTCACTGAACTCCTGTGAAATCTTTTATCATCAAACCTCACCACAATGAAAAGAAGCATAAACACGTTAGACTGGTGTCCCAGAGCTTAAGTGGGGCCATATTCAGTACCTCCCATAATTGAACCAGTGTGACATGGGGGCAAGAGAGAATTTTAAAAGCCTGGAGGAGAAATGTGGCAAGGCAGGTTTGACTGGTCAGGCTTCAAGGACTGCATGATGCTTCATTAGCAAAATACCCTTAATTAAACGATTGTCCACAGATTTGAGCACACACATTGCTGGCCCCAGGGAAATCTGCTTTGCAGCCTACATCCCTGGTTTGGATCCTGGAATAGAAAAATTGTGAAGCTGTGTTCGAGAAGCAAAAGGCATTTTGGGCTGAAATCGAAGGCACACTTCAGAGTGGGGGGGGGGGAGTTCCGTGTAAACATGTTTAGGACTGCACGGTTAAAACTCAAACCAGAAAGTGTGCACAGAGGCCAGTCGGTATAGCCACATTCCAAGCAGAGATAGGAACTTGGAAAAGCAAATAAATGAATCTGTATTGGTCAGAGTTCATCTGATACCTTTTGCTGAAGCTAAGGAAAGACCTTTAGGTTCTGCCTACAGTTTATTGCCAAATCAATACTAAAGAATTGACCTGAAGCAGCTGGAGAAATCGTTCAGTACTGTCCAGACTCTCAACCTCAAATCTTTGTTATCAGAAAGCAACATTATTTCCTTCTGAACTCATCCATTAACATTCCTACACAAACATATATATCCCTCCCTCTGTGTGTGTGTGTGTGTGTGTGTGTGTGTGTGTGTGTGGATAGACCTGTACACACACACTCCTGCCAGCTAACACATCTGATAAACTAGACTGGACTGTAGTTCATTAAAGCTGATGAAATAATAAAGTTTGCTCATCTCGAAAATGTTCCTTCTCTTTGTTGCCACAAATACAACTGGCTCTGAAAACCGCAGGAGTTTAAATTCGACTCTGCCTTGCCTTGAGTACATGTTGCATTTGTGATAAAGTTGCATAGTGTACAATTAAACACTGCCCAACAGGATTCTCTTAGGACACCAGTCTGAGAAAAGTAGAAGAGAACTAAAAGGCTGATTCATGGAAGCTCACTTTTGTCCCAGCCTTTGCATCGTTCTATCTGAAATTTCTGGATACTTGTAATTAGTGTTGGCTGCTGTTTTTTCGCCCTCACATGGGAACGCTTAATTGCTAGTCCTGAGACAGGAACTTCCTCTTTGAGGACACTTCCTAGTGAAAATGTAACCTTGCATTCCTAAATAGAAGCAGGTTTATTTACCTGTTCAGGTTTGCTTAGGATTACAGCCAATGATGCAAAGTTGATTCTCAGTATCCTTAGCAGGACATATTTTTGTTAGATGGGCTTATTTGTGTTAGAGGAGCTGGAATGTTCTTACTAGCGCTATATCCTAAGCATCATTTCCCAACTTCTGCATGGCAGTCGCTCATGTAAAGACAAGCAACACTTGAACCCAAAGCCTTCCGGGATGTTGACGGCTAGGTATTTTGTGGCCATGCAACGTAAGCACTAAGCCAAATGGTAAAGAGACATCTGTACTGTACAATCATCATGGTTTGGAACAAAATTGTCGTTTGGAGTGACTCAAGAGCTTTATTTTCCCCTCTGTGAATATGCTTCCATGGTTGCAAATAACATCAACTGCACCTAACTATTTATTCCTCTTTTGGTGGTTTGTTTGAGTCCTTCTCTTAAAAAAAGAGAAAAAGTAGTCACTATAATAACTTCAGAATGCAAACATTCCTGAGTGTGTGTCAGATGTTTTAACGTATGGTACACGAACTAATTAAATCATCACATATGTCTCAGAATTTGCAGTCCCTGGAATAATTTTGACAATATGGAACACAATTTGCATAATTTGTGCTGATTGTTACTTAGCACTTACTGAAATACAAAGTGGGTTTTTAAAAATTATTTTATTACTTCTGTCAGATTTCGGGGAAGTTGAATTGTACACACTATAGGGAGGATATTAAGAGTTTCAAGCAGGCTTTCTGGAAACATTTATTCCTTGAATGTAGCGCAAGGGGTGGAAAGAGCTTTGTTTACTGAGTCATCCTCCCTACTTACAATTAAAATAAAACTGCTTTATTATTATTGACTATTAATATAAGAGCATAGAGGAGAAAGTGAAAAAGGTAAAGGTAAACAATGGGTATGGGGGCTTCGGGGCCATATGTAAGTCACTGTATAGGCCGCTCTGCTCGGTTCCAGAGGACAAGCTCCAGTAACTTACTGTAGACTTGGAAAGTAAATCAAAAGGCGTTGTGGAATGTTAGCTGACAACTGGAACACTGGATAGCTCAGCTGGTTACAGCATGGTACTAATAACGCCAAAGTCACAGGTTTGATCCCCATATGGGACAGCTGCATATTCTTGCACTGCAGGCAGTTGGGTGAGATGATTCTCAGCGTATCTTCCAGCACTATGATTCTATGAAAGCGCACGCCACATCAGTGCAGTTATTCCTAAATACAGACACAAATAGCACAACCAGGAAGAAAATCCAAAGATCAAAGCTAATGATTTGCATTTGCATTTTATTGCATTCTTATTGATAACCCTGCAAGCTAGTTCAGTATTATTATCATCATCCCATATTGTACACTGAGGCAGAGAGTAGCTTACCTAAGAAGGCTCCCACACCAAAAGGAAGAAGATTCCAACTGGAGACGTCTTAAATTGTAGGTCAGCTTCTCAGCTGCTACACTACATTAGCTCATGAAATCATTCTGCACTATGGGCTTTGAACACCAAAGACGGTGAAAGCTTTTCAGCCTGAGGGCCACAATCCCTTATAGGCAACTTTCTGGGGGCCACATGTGAGAGGCAGGCAAGGTCAGAAGCAAAAGGGGGGGGGAGAGAAACACAGTTGGGCCAGGCAAGCAATATGATGTCTTAGCTTTGCGCAGCAGGACACATTCCAGCCATTCAAAAGGCAGAGGGCACATCGCCATAGACACACCTCTTCATCCGAGTAAGAAAAGGCCATTATCATGAACAAGGACACATTCTAGCTTAGCAAAAGCACTCGCGGAGGGTGCAGGTGAGGGGTGTAGCTTACAGAAGGAGCTTGGTCTGGGCCGTGGCAGACTTTGGGTTCTCAAATTTCAATGGCGATGCAAAAAAATTCAAGCCCCGCCTCTCTCGTGCGCCTTCTACAGCGTTGTGGTTTGAACCCGCAACTCTACTCCCCCATTCAAATAACTAGCTTCCTGTGGCTGCTTGGCAGTAGATGGGAGGGGCAGGGGGGGTGGGAGGCATCCGAAAATCTGATCACAGACCTGCTGCATTGCATGTACTTTAGCCCTAATCATATGACTTTGCTTGTCCTTTCCCTTCTTACATATTGCTTCACTGGCTCAGGCAGCATTGTAACTTGGATGCTCAGAAGAAGAAGGGGTTAACAGGCTATGTTTAATCCACTTTTGACTTTTAATCTCTAAGAAATCCTCCTCCCCCCTCCAAAAAAAAAATTCCTCCATAAAAGATACAGAAAATTAACCATAGCAAGGTTGCCCATGTTTGTAGGCTTCTGTGCCACTGAGATGTACGTTCTCCCTCTGCTCACACCTATTTGCATAATTGCAACCCCCCACCCACCAACACTGACGAGAAACTATTGCACTTTCCGTGCCGCTAATTCATAAGGTTGCCTAGCAACTGGATGGGCTCTCTCACCTCAGACTAATCTATTCATATATACTGTGGCCTTTGCCCAGTTCTGTAGCACTTGAAGAACCATGTGCCTTACATCACGGATATTCAGAGAAGGAATTTACGACGGCACTAAAAGGATAACCCAATTACACATACCTGGAAATTTTGCAGGGAAATTATTAGGCAAGGCACATGCCAGGTGTGAGATCTGGGCTAATGATAGTGAACAATAGATGGATTAAATACTCAGGGCAGATGTTGTGAGGCACAGGAAAAAGATGGCAGATGAAAATGAGCAGCAGGGAACTCAGAGGCTTGTGGAGAACCCCATGAAATATGTGAAAAGAGGAGAAAATGAAAGTTAGCCCTGGGGACCAAGGGACCAAGGAGTCACCTGCCTCTGAGTTATGTTTTCATCACCATTTGGTGACAGTTTGCCTAAGAGTTCCATTTTAAGTTAGTATAAATTAGTGCTGTGATGGATTTCTATCTCACTCCCCCTCCCCCCCATTTTTTTACCGTTCTCCATCAGTTAATGAGAAAAGAACTAACTAGCATTCAAAAATTATCAAAGGGCGGAGAAAATTTCAGATAAATTCTCAAGAGTGGGGCACACGGTTTTTGCTGCACTTACTTTTAAAATGGCCTAGGGGTGCTTCTTTCCTTCACGCTACACATCAAATCTCTAGTGGTCCACATTCTGCAGCTTTCCTGGGTACCCATATTCCCTAAGAACCTCATGATGTCCTTGTTCTTCTTTTAACCAAAGTCTTTTGATTAATTAATTCAGGCATAGGCAAACTCAGCCCTCCAGATGTTTTGGGACTACAGCTCCCATCATCCCTAGCTAACAGGGCCAGTGGTCAGGGATGATGGGCGTTGTAGTCCCAAAACATCTGGAGGGCCAAGTCTGCCTATGCCTGAATTAATTTATTTTAAAGAATTGTGCACAAAGCTTTTTTAACGGGAAGACCTTCCCTAAAAAATAAAATAAAACCAGCACATATGGCCATCTCAGGCCCTCGGTAGCCAGGGCTCAGAGAAGACCTTCTGAGAGGACTCTTCCCATAGGTCTCATTCAGATGAGGAAGTGCAGGCAGCTAGGGAGGCTGCAGAGTTCAAACCACCCATGGTCACCTTGTAATGTTAAAATAAGCTCAACCCTGTCCCCACCAAAAGTTGAAAGAAATTCAAAAGCTCACCAAGAATGACAAAGCCAAATGGAAGCCTCTTTCTCAAAGGAATGAATATTTTTAGAAATAGGAGAAAAGGATTCGGCACAGCACTGTTATAAATATACAGAGGAAACTCTGGCATAGCATTTCCCCCCCGTACTATAGCAGTAATAAAAGAAATAGCCATGCTATATATGCAGCAATTCCCAAGAGGAGGCCTTATTAATTTCACACTAAGCAAAAAGTGCTATTTGAATCTTGTTTATTATATATACCACAGCGGTTATGTTACACTACAGGCTGGGCTCCAAAATTGTTCAACTGCCGCTCCTCTCCTTTTCCAGCAACATGCTGAAAGAGGAAGGAGGGAAAAATATCTCCCAGATATTGTTAACTCCCAGATCTTGCCATCTCTAGACAGCATGGCCAGTGGTTAGAGATGATCGGAGTCGTGATTCAACAACATTCGGAGGGCAACATGTTGGCTTCTCCTGAGAACGTAACCAGAAAAGGAAAAGATAGCAGCAGGAGTGTTTTTAGAGACAAAGATAAGCAAGCTATGGCTGTAATCTTATACAGTGGTACCTCGGGTTACAGACTCTTCAGGTTCCAGACACTTCAGATTACATACTCTGCTAACCAAGAAATAGTACCTCGGGTTAAGAACTTTGCTTCAGGATGAGAACAGAAATCGCATGGGAGCAGCGGGAGGTTAAGAATGGACCTCCAGAACGAATTAAGTTCTTAACCCAAGGTACCACTGTACTTACTTACTTGGGAGTAAACCCCATTAAATTCAGTGGGATTTATGTCTGAGTAAATGTGATTATGCCATGAGTCTTTTCATAACACAGCCTTGGACATTTGCCCCATAATTAAAGCGTAAACTTAAAGGAGAAAAGCTTTCAGGTAGTTGATTTTATAGGTATATTTAAGGGGAGGCACAGGAGGCCAGAGGCCCAGGTCCTTTGTGCTGGGGACCCATATCTCCTGTCCTACCATGGCCCCCTCAGCTTTGTCAGGATCTGACATGATTTGGCAGCCTGAAATGCAAACAGGAGGAGCAGATGAGGGACTGGAAGGTGGGCACCCAGGGATGAAGCAGGGAGGGCGTCTCTTTGTAACTCTAAAAGTCAGAGGGGAAAAACCAGATATGGCAGATCTCTCCCTTGCCCCTTCTGTGGAGCGCAGAATGTCACCAGGTAGGGGGACTTGAACCAGCCAGAGGAAGAAGAGGAGGGGGAGGAGTTTGGATTTGATATCCCGCTTTATCACTACCCGAAGGAGTCTCAAAGCGTCTAACAATCTCCTTTCCTTTCCTCCCCCACAACAAACACTCTGTGAGGTGAGTGAGGCTGAGAGACTTCAAAGAAGTGGGACTAGCCCAAGGTCACCCGGCAGCTGCATGTGGAGGAGTGGAGACACAAACCCGGTTCACCAGATTACGAGTCCACTGCTCTTAACCACTACACCACACTGGCTCTCTGGAGTAGAATCTGGAGGCACAGTGGGGGCAGCTCCCCCCTTTCCCTGGTGCTGCAGAGGGGTGGGGAGGATGGGGGACACCAGTTGCTGTAGCCATGCTGCCACCACACTTGGCTCCACCCCCTGGCTCTGTGCGACATCACACACATGACGTCAGGGCATTGTCTTGGGCCCCTGCAATGTTTTCGAGAAGTTGGTGTCAGTTGTCATTTCTTAGTACAGAAAGTATTGACCTGATGTGTAGAGATCCTTCCTGTTCTGTTTACTACAAGAAGGTTCAAGAAGCTTCTCTGTGTGAAAGGAGGTTTCTGTTTGGGTTATTTCTCTGGGAAGCCGAGTACAGCTGGTTTAAACTGGTTCTGTTATCTTTCTGCCAAGGTTGTGCTGACTATAATAGTAAGACCAGGAGGTCTCACTTGCTTTCTCTTTTCTGTCTCCTTTGTTCTGGTGATCTGTTTCTGCATGCTGTAGTGTTAAGTTTTAGACCAGGCTTCCTCAACCTCACTCCTCCAGATGTTTTTGGCCTACAACTCCCATGATCCCTATCTAGCAGGGCCAGTGATCAGGGATGATGGGAATTGTAGTCTCAAAACATCTGGAGGGCCGAGGTTGAGGAAGCCTGTTTTAGACTTATTATAAGCTTTGTAAGTTTTATGGTAAGTGCTGCAACTGGATTTCTTATGGACAGTGCCAATCCTGAATGTATTGGATCTGTGACCATTTGTGCTCTTTTGCCTTCAGCACCTGTAAAAGCTCTGCTGGATGAAGTACAGTTGCTTCCGGTCTATTTAAGTTTTTTCCTGCTCCCCTTTCATGGGTGTCAGATGGCACCTCTGCCCCACATGCACCCTCCCAAATCTGTTCTGGAGATTCCCCCAGCCCTTGCTCTCAGGAAGTATACTAAGGATTGCAGATTGGAAGCTACTTTGCCATGGTGTGCTCCCACACAGCTGAGAGATGCATGCAAGTGATGAAACCACATGGGTGAGGTTGATGCTTTCCGTGGAAATGGGCACCATTAGAATCACAAATAAAGCCCCATTAGTTGAATACTAATTTTCTACATTGCTAAAAGTAATTTTATCAGATTCTCTTACTATTTCTTCATGTTCAGAACAGAATTCCTTACGGCGATCCCAGCACTGCTGCCCTAACACCTGGAATGTTATTTCAGACATTCAGCTCCTTCATGTAAAATTCCCAATATTACAGGAATCCACTGAAAGGCAGGAGAAGAAAGAGAAAAGTTTCCAAAACATGTTGGAGGCGAAGTATCACATTCAACCACGAAAGCAACTCTTTGAGCCCTGAGGATTTGCTTGCATTTAATTTGCAACTCATCTTCGTTTTATTTTTATTTCTTAAGATGCAGATAGCTTTCAAATCTCTATGGCACACGACGATCGAACATGAAAACAGATAGGATACCAGAAAGGTTACAGAGACAGAAAATTCAATAGAATATTATTATTATTTTTAAAGGTGGGGGGATCCATATTTTTCAACTGATGGGAGAAAACTCTTTCCCAGGGGAAGGAGAGACACCTTCCAAGCCTTGGCAGCATCCCAGGCCCAGAAGAGTTACCTAGGATGATTATTCTAAAACTCCTGTGCTTACTTAGATAAGCAGAGTTGTTTGCGGCATGCCAGGAGAACAGTTATGATCACCTGGAAGAATTTTTCTGCTTTCATGTCCCCAACCACAACAGCAAAGAGACAGTGTTTTAAAGAATTCCTGCCTTTAGAGATAAGAAAATGATTATAACATTTCAAACTAATGGGCCAGCCTTACCCATTAAGCAGAGTGAGGTGGCTATGTCAAGCAACAGAGGCTGGTGGGATTGGTTGGGGGGTTACAATGACAAAGTATTGGAGAACAAAGCAGTTTATGTCATGCCATCTGCCCTGCTGTCCTCAGATGCAGCAGGTGACAAACCAATGTTGCTCAATTGCCAGTCGTATAGGAATATTGTATACAGAACTGGGAGTCCGGAGGGCATCTCAGCAAAGGCCCATGGGCTGGACATGACTGGCTTTCTTCATTATGTCAATAAGAACTATTTGCAGTGAAAATACGAACTTTATATGCTTCGTTGACAAAAGTTTATTCCCTCCCCTCCCCCCTTTTCTGTTGAAATGCTTGTTTGCCCTTTATTTTGGCCTTTTAGAAGTTTGAGAAGCTGCTTATAATTAGGGACGGGGAGAATTTGGGTTCAGTTCTCATTTCTATGTGAACCTATGCAATTTGCACTTTCTGAAATAATACAGAAACTGAAATGCAGCTAACCTTTTGAAATTCACACTTCTCTGAATTCTGCTTTGCTGTATCTATACCTGGTTTGGTACAACTGCAGGTGGCCCTGAAACTGTTGTAAGTCAAGTGCTGACGGGCTTTTCTGTACCCTATCTATAATAACCATGCTGGATTTACAAAATATTTTATTTCTTCAGAGCCTCGGGACATTTGGATGGCAGGCCTTTGAAAGGAGCTTTTTAAGATAGAGACCTGTCAGCTCTCAACCTACGTGTCTGTTGGAATTGCATGAATGTTTCCTTGCAGTAAAGTTATGGGATCATCTGGGAACCTGAAACGCCCTCCAGAACCAGAGAAGGCCTCACGGGAGTTCGGGTACACAGGAATTCCAAAGAAAGATGCTCAAACCAGCAGAGTGATCAGGTCTAACGATTTATTAAAGAAGGGTACAGACTTACAACAAAAGTCCAACATTTCCCTCCTTGCCCCTGGCTCACAGCATTCTGTGGGACAGATTCCACAGCAAGGGGATGGCTCATCCACACCCACATAAAGATACACACAATCTTTATAGGCTCAGGTAGGCTACGTCACATAGGAACACAAGGGGCTGTTATTAACCATTTCCTACCCGTCTAACAACGCCTGGGGCCTGTGGATACATCAGAGTGTGTGAAACACGTATAAGCTCACTGCTACAGCTGCTACCAATTAGGTAGGAGGTCATCTGGATCATCAATATGCTGCGAGCAGGGCTTCCAGACAAGCTTGCATTTTCAGGTCAACTCAGGACCAGATTTCTTTGGCTGGTTCTGTTCTCCTATCCAATGGCGTACAAATTATGTCCATTGCTGGGACTGGGAGGGCCAAGCTACGATGTGGGAGGGTGCCGCAGATAAGAATTGTAAATATTATGCAAGTGAATGTCCTTCCTAAACCTCTGCATGTGTCAGCCATTCCTTCTGCTTCGACAAGAAAGAGACAGGAATGTATGATTGTTCAAAGTAACAGCAATCATACTTTGAGCTGTAATAGAAAATGTAACCATGAATGGAAAGGAAGACTATTGGCCCAATGAAAACTGCGAAGGGAAGGTTTTGAAATGCGGTTTACCCACTTATGGAAGAAGTTGCTTTTATGCATGAAGGCAAGGCATACCTTTGGTTGCTCAAGAATTGGAATGGAAGGTGTTACTAATGCCTGCATTTTGTGTATGTCCCCATCTTGGAGAAAGAGTAAGAAATAAGAGAGAAATTGCCTTATCTAAGGTCAAAATAAGCCTCCCTTTTAGTAATGATGTGTCAGGTACGTTTTGGTTCAGCCTTCCTTTGGTATGAGGCAGCAAGGGCAATGAGAATGGCTGAATGCCCTCAGTCAGGCATTAAAAACATTAATAAATGTTTCAATTAATGCTTGAGGAGGGAATCAATGGTGAACAGTATAACATATGCTTAGTTTTCCTGGCGCTGGATTACATTTGGCCAAAGGAGTGTGCGCCCTGGTGAGAAACGAATGCTGCACCTATATTCCAGATAACAGCAGGGGAATAGGTAAGGATATTGATTTGGGACCCTAAGCTATAGCTTGTTTAGCTTATACGTAAATCCGGCACTGCATATGGTTAAGATAGATGGGGGGGGGATGGATGGATGGGTAGAAGAGGAAAGAGGGGTAAAAAGGTTAGGAGTGAGATTAGCATCATAAGGTGATACCCAACAGACTATCAGGAGCGAGGGATGCAGGGACTGAAATAGTTAATTTGTCATGAAGAGAAACTGCCAGGTGGAATGAAAACAAGGCATATTTGACTGGATTGAAAGGGGAGTAAGCAAGCTATGTTACAGGTATCAAAACATTTGGAGACGTCAGGAGATGGAGAACGCAACAAATCACGCTGTAGGAGCTTCAAAGAGAATTGCAGATTGAGCAGTTATGCATAGCTGACAGTGTAAAATAGGGTAGCAACAAAGGGAACGAACAGTGCCACGTCAAAAGGTGTAAACTGCTTATTGGTTCGTGTCGTTGAAATGATGCTTTAAGATTGTGTTGAACTAAGGCAATGACAGGGTGGGTTTGATGTTGATGTACCTCTGCTTGCATGGCGTTTGAATCCTTTGTAGTGACTTCTTCATTGGGATTGCACATGCAATAAATCTTCCCTGATTCATACCTCGTTACTATTGCCCTCCGGGAAGGGAACCTAAAATTCACCTGCAAGAAGAGCCTGCTGGATTTGCCCAATGACCCATCTCTTCCGGCATCCTGTTCATCCTGATTTTCCTGCACGCCCAGCCCTCCGCACTCCGTTATGCAATGTTCCTTCTAATAGTGAGCTAAGGTGGTTTAGCGCCCATGAGATTGGAAGTGAAATGGGAGCATTCTTTGTGTCTATTTGTGTATGGAGGAAACCTAGATAAGCAGAACTACATAAACAAATACCTGGTAGAAGCAATTACCTTTGCTTCCTTCTAACCTCTTATCCAACAGAGCCTCCTGGTCACCCTGTACTGTAAGAAGACCCAGGGTGGATCTACACACTGGGGGGACGGGACGGACGGACACGTTATCAAAAAGTCAGACATTAAATCATTATAACAAAAAGGGGGAAACCGCTATGTGAAATCACACAGAAATCTTTTCTGCTCTACAGCGCCTTCTGTAGAGATGCATCTGGTGTTGCATGCTTATAACGCATTCAAAACGGTTTTTTGACTAATGTAGCTGAGTCCTCAAACAGATAGCGAAAGCCTCTTGCAGTGACAAACGCAGTTGTCTCCACCAATACTTGCTCCATGCCTTTTGCTAATAATAAAGGGCTTGCCAAACAGTCCCAAGATGAGGACATGGCCTCAGACAGAGCCTGCCTTTTGAAAGCATCCCATTCTTCTAATGGGCCCTTCACTAACATGCAAGAAAAGTCAAACTCCAGCTGTGTTCTCACAAGTATCTGCTGCTTTTTCAGTTACACTTAACTCCACTCTGAGATCATTTGACAAAGCTCAGGCTGAAATAAATATTTAATACATGAAATAAAAATATTCCTTTCAGGCTTTGGGTTTATTTCATGGTGCAGAATTAATCAATTAGTTTACTTGGCCATTCATTAATGGAGGTGTTAAGCATTAAGTATTGGGGGGAGCCAAAATTTGTCATTCTTTCGTTGCACAGTTTCACAGTACATTGCATTTGAAAATCTGGAAAAAGCCTTCTGAGGTGTTCAAACAATCTTGAACATGGGCTTGAATTGCAAGCAAATGTGTTATGAGGTAACAACCCGTTATCAATTTTCTGGAAAGATGGGGCAAGTTTTACTTCCACCAGTCTTTAAACCCTTCCTCTTTTCTTCTCATCATTGCTCCCTCTTGATCAGAGATTTTAAAAATTACAATCGGCTTTAGCAGCACCCAGTAAATTTCACCAGCACCCCTAAAACCTTGTAGACAGAATCTAAACAATGGTCTTTCCCATCATGAATGTTTTTATCAGTAGTAGAGTACGTCCAAGTGACAGGAAAGAGAAAAGCCACACACATGCTCTGTACAGAAAGGACAATCAACCAGGGCTTCAGATTTGGCCATCTTTTGGAACATTAGAATAAATAGGCAAACATAAAATAAAATTACCAGTACATGATGTTCTTTTTTACAATGCTGATATAATTTGAAGGCGCCAGTATTCTGTGCTATCCAGCAGATCTGAGCTGCTTAATGACCTTGATGCTATTATTCTCCAGGAAAAGCAAACCAAACCAGTTTTGCATGCCTAAAGCCACCTTACAGAAAGATTACTTGGTGTGCCTTTCGCCTGCAATTTGCCTGCAATTTGCCTGGAATTCAAAATGACAAAACTTTAACGAGACTGCTGTTAATGGGAGGCATAACCTCTGCTATTTACCAAAGCAGAGATACCGCTCCCCCTCCCCCATTTTCATGGGTCCATCCTTCCCTTATGTATGTTGTGTGCATTGAGGGAGGTGAATACAGTGGTGCCTCGCAAGACGAAATTAATCCGTTCCGCGAGAGTCTTCGTCTAGCGGTTTTTTCGTCTTGCGAAGCAACCCTATTAGCGGCTTAACGGATTAGCGCTATTAGCGGTTTAGCGGCTATTAAAGGCTTAAAGGCTTAGGGGATTAGCTGCTAAAAGGCTATTAAAGGCTATTAAAGGCTTAGCAGATTAGATAAAGGGGGGGGGAAGCGGAAAAAAAATCTCTAGACTCGCAAGACATTTTCGTCTTGCGAAGCAAGCCCATAGGGAAATTCGTCCTGTGAAGCAACTCAAAAACGGAAAACCCTTTCGTCTAGCGGGTTTTCCGTCTTGCGAGGCATTCGTCTTGCGGGGCACCACTGTATTTGTGACTGTTGCCAGCTGGGCCAGAGTCACAGGACTTTGGAGTGGGGAAGAGTTGTTGCAATTCCATGAAGGCGTTGAGTGTAATATCTCAGCCAGG